TGAAAGACACTTTCCTACTGAATATAAAAACCATTGCAGATCATTATGGTCGGCTGTCGAAAGCAATGCGTTCGACAATTCTTATCTGTAGGTGTTACATGTTCAGAATGAGTATCACATTGAACAGCATCCCTTGCATCGCTGAGGTCTCCGACTATCTTGTACAAATAAAATAAACACTCTTTTATTACTCACAAGTTAAGGTAGAAAGAATAAAAAGGAGTAAAAGCGACTAAAATAAATTTGTAAATGTATAAAATGTTTATTTAGAACAAGAGTTTCCATCTCTTTCACTTATCGATCTCTGTTCTGAGTTGATAAAATCATTGAATGCTGGTAGTTGAGCGTGGGTTTGCACCCGACTAACGTGCTCGCAATGTGTTTTCTTTACATGTTTAATACCTAAATATGGACCATTTTCCTATAGAAAGTTTTCCCGGGAGATCTTTGGCAGATCATCGAAGTATTGCGTTTCCTGATGCACTCCATTGCATTTGATCCCTTTAAAATCACAGGATGGTGGAAAATAACTAGACATTGAGAAATAGCTATAATTTCTATATTTCTAAAGCAATTATGATAAAAGTTATTTGACGTGTACTTTATTAAATGGATAAATGGATGCATACCATAAAATTGAATACATCAACGATATTCATCAACGATGATTTCCTCAGATTGTGATGTAAATGGTCGACCCCTTTTTTGTGCCTCTGCAACCAAACCTGTGGTCATTTTAATTTCGAATGACAGTTCTTGATTGTTTCCGGACGAATGATGGCATGACGTTCCTTCACCGCACGCCATTATTTCTGCACAACAATCACTGATTTTCACATCTCAGTTTGCAGCAAACTGCGCTCGCTCTTGAACAGACAAGCGGTCGGCCATCATTTTGCCACTGTGTGTATGGTCTCGGTCATCGTTGGCATCACCAATGTAGTGATTATAAAATTCATTGATGTACATGCACATAAAAATTTTATTATTATTATATTATTATAATAAAATTATAGTAATTTTTCAATGTCTAGTTACTTTCCACTGTTCTCATAGATTTAATTTACCGACTACACACTGATGCCAAATAAAATAAATTACAAATAGAATGAAATAAAAACTCAAATAACTATTTAACAATGTTTTTATTAACTTAACTTACAATTCAAAAATTGTGAGCTTTAATAAAATTTAAAATATATAACCGTTATAATCATAATATTTTTAAGTATAATAAAAGTAAATTTGACCACCAACCAATAGTAATTTTGTTGGCAGTAAACCAAGAAATCGATTGATTCATCATAGACATTAGTTTGGGTACTTTGCTTTAAAGCATGATATATCAATACAGTTGTCGAAGTAAACTATAAAGCCGTTTATTAACATAATTAATAACATTAAGGTTCAGATATAAATAAAAAATTTATAAAAGTTCAAGTACAAATACAAGAATTTTATGTAGGCCTACACATATATTATTACTTGTAAAATAATTTAAAATCTTAATGTCAGTAAATTTGATTAAAATAATTTTAAATTACCATAGATTAACTAAGTGTTTTAAAGGGAGGAAAAAACTAGTTATTTGGTAACTGCATGGCAATGGTTCTGCGTTCGAACTCTTAAAGCGTCCGAAGTTACAGTCGTTCGAAGTACGAGGTACGACATGTGTTACGAATGTACGAAAATGACATGTACACTCTTAAATCGAACATTATAGCAACATAATCTATAATCTGTAGTTTCCGTATATTTAGATAATCATTCAATTAAACTTTTTGTTTTAACTTATTTTTTGATCTTTCATTATATCATGCGCATTTGTTCATATTATGAATAATTCTAAAAAGTACTTTTCTTTTTATTGACAACTGACAATAGGATTTATAGTTTATTATCTTCTGAGTATTATAATTCATTCCATATGTTTTTATTATAAACATATTATCCGATCTAATTATTGAAATATCTAAATAATTCAATTTTTTTCTTTACTTTCTATTTTCTATAAACTATCTTAAATTGAATTGAAGAGTACAACCCATTAACGAAATTCAAAATTTGAGTTTTATTTATTTTATTATTATCATAAATCAAGAAAATGTCATCCATATCTTGCCACAAAAAGGATTCCATTACAACTTGCTATCTCTTGATCAATCTTATTCATAACTAATTTCGTTAATTTCGGTTCCGTAGCCGTTCCCATGCTTATTCCATCTATTTGTTGAAAAACAGCAAACTTCTCAGGCGGGAATTTCGTGAACGGACAGATTTCTACTGTATATATACAGCAGTGTTTCTCAACCTCTAACGAATCGTCGCTCCCTTCAACGTAGTATTGCCCCCTTCAATAAAACCGTTACCTATTATCGCCCCTTCACTTCAAAATTCCGATACTGAGGACCAAGACTAACGCCAAATTCGTATTGCATTGAATAGACTAGTGACTAGTATAATGTTATTTGTTTAATTATTGTACGATATAACAAATAAAATATCTAATTATTCTTAATATAATGTTTTACTATAACGCCCAGAAAATTGTTTTTCGCCCAAAATATAAATTGTTACTAATCGCCTCCTCAACATGGAAAAACGCCCACATGGGGACGATATCGCTACCGTTGAGAAAGACTGATTTATATAATCTAGATATTTCAGATTTTCTAGCTTCTCGGCTTCGTTCTCGTCGAATGTCGCCATTTTTCCCTGAAATAGATCGCTTTGCGCAGGCGTCAAACCTAGAGTTATCGTCTACTCGCCGATTTTCTAGAGGTAGAGTTAGAATTAGGGTTATTGTGTTTGACTCGAGATTCGGAGTTGGTGAATACCAATTTACCAATAACTCGCGAGTTAACCCTAACTTTAACTCTAACTCGCGTTGGTGAATACGGGGGTGAAAGAGTCATTCGGAACCCTTAAATGGTGGAACGTCTTTTAAACGAGTTCCAATCAGTCTCCAATTAGCATCTGGAGGATTACAGCTTTACTGTAAAGTGGGTTAGTCATATGACTATATGGAGAATTTTGAATGAAAATGAACTGTTTCTTGTCGCCTCAGTGATTTTCGGAATTGAAACTCCAAGATTACACAATAGCCTTGCGTTAAAAATGTGCATATATATATATATATATGCCAGTTCCTCTCCAAACTTCTCTTTTCAGACGAAGCGATGTTAATTAGAGACAGTATATATTATCATCACGATTGAGCGGGATAAACTAAGAAATCAATGTTTCAGCGGGAATTGCGGGGATAAACTGATTGATCCATATTCATATCTCCTACGTTCGCGTCTCACAGGACCTCTGTACCATCAGTTTTTGAAGCAGCTAATGGCAAACATACTTTCTGAGATGCTTGATAATGTTACTTTGCAGTTTCGTGCAGATATGTGGTTCGTGACAGCGCATTTTAGTATATTAACATGCCAGTATTCCGACGAAAAGTTTTCAAATTGAAGGATAGGTGGAAATAGATCTGTAGAGTAGCCAAATCGACCCAATTCTCTTGATCGATGTCAATCTACCCGATGTCAATCCTCTTTGACTTTTATTTCTGGAACCACGTAAAACAACTAATGCACTCGCAACCTATTACAAACGGTGATAATTTATAGAAACGAATTGTCCAGGCATTTCACGAATGTCGGCAACAACCTGGTATATTTGAAAGAGTATGATAATCCATCATGCGGAGTAATAACAGTTGTTTAGAGTTTCCGGGAAACCATTTTGAACAAGTAAGAGGTACTGTCAGTGGACGTAGTCTGACTTGTTAATCAAGCCTGCAGAGTTTTGGTTTCTTTTGGAACCCATGTTTGCTAGATCTTTTTTATTTATTTTAGTGTGTAGTTTATGTATGCAAATTTTATGATAGGACTTCATATACACCCTGTATATTTTGTGTTATTTGCTAAAAGCGTTTCATATTATAGCATTGCATGTACTACAATATAATGAATATCAAATATATAATTTACTAAAATAAAAACAAAACTCCTATATGTCAATTATTAAAAGATTCCTTCTCCGAAATTAAATTGATGATGAAATTTATGTATAAATATACTTTAAATATACCTTTTATAGACTAGGCCTTTATAACTTTACAGTCTTAAAAAATGCTTAAGTAAAATAAAACTTTTGCAAATGATATTTAATAGTATTGCAAGATAATTTTAACAAATTTGATATACATAAATTTTGTTTAATTAATTGTTTATATAATAAAGTTAATACAGTGGAGCGTCGTTTATCCGAAAGCCGGTTATCCGAAAGCATTCCAGTCAGCAAATTTAAATTTTCGCTAGTGCTGTGGCGCTGCAATCTTTGGCTATATCTTGGGCTACTCCAATATTTTTTTTGTTAGTGTGTGTATTTTAGCTGGCAGCACTGGCAATTTTGTGTGATGTTTTTCTGAGGACTGTGTGTCATGCTGAATCGAACGTTTTTGATACTATATTAACTTCTAAAGTATATATTTTTTTGTTTTTATATTTTTCAATATATTTATTTTGTTTGTAAAAAATAAAAAAATAATTTTTAACGATACAATAGCCACGATTATTATTTACATTAGCCTTAACATCGACGAAAATTCAACGCGAAGCGACACGCAACGGAAAAAAATTTCAACATGAGATAGGTTAATATATTTTTTCGTACGTAATCGGTTATCCGAAAAATAAATTATCCGAACAACCCCAGTCCCCAATTGATTCGGATAAACGACGCTCTACTGTATTAAAAAATGTAATTTTTTAATTTTAGTGGTTATATTCATAATTTGTTAATACTTTCTTTTTTTTATTGTTTTAAAATATAAAATAATGCTATAAAATGTCAGAACTTTTAAAGATTTGAAAGAATTTTATATTTATTTACTAAATAAAACTAGCCAGAAATCTCCTGGAATAATATATTTAAATCAACTTGTTTATTCGTTTAGTCCTTAGAGGATGAATAGTTTCACGTCAGGTGAAGGACGTTCAGCAGTGTTGTTGCTATACTAGTTTGTACACACTAGTTTGTATATTACACAGCATAGAAGCAACAACTATTTAATTTTCAGTCTTCTCTAAGGTCTCAACATGAAAAATTTGGTAAGATGTATTTTAAACAATTAAATATTCATATCACTATAAAATGGAAATATTCTAAAGTTTTGGTATATTACTTATTTTTTTATTTTTAGGTCTCGATTTTTGTATTGATAGTTATTTTTTCAGTCATTAATGCTAATGACAATCCTCCGCCGAAAAATAGTAATAAGGATGAAAGTGCTTCTAAACATAATGAAACAAATGATAAAGGTTTAACACCGGAACAAGCAGATCCTGTTGTAATCGTGGAATCAGACGAGAATAAGGAAGAGATCCATACAATACCCGAATCCGTGGAAGAAAAGATCCATGTAACACCCGAATCTGTGGAAGATACATTACCCGAAATAGAACCTATACCCGCTTTTGGTACTGGATTCTCTGGGTAAATGAAAATAATTTTCCATGCACACTGGAAAAAAAATTACAGGTAGTTTTCATTTTTCTTAATTTAAAATTTCTTATATTTGTTTAACTTGAATTTTTAAAATTAACGATATAAAATTATCTTATAGTATAAAATAACTTATATAGCTTTCAATAAAGTTTGTATAATATTTTTTCATTTAGATTGATTATTTACGCCTATAAATATTGGTTTAATACATAAATTTTATAGGAGGGTTGATTGATAAATAAGGTCTCTATTTCTTTCAATAAAGTTTGTTCGATATTTTTTCATTTAGATTGATTATTTACGCGTATAAATATTGGTTTAATACATAAATTTTATAGGAGTGTTGATTGATAAATAAGGTCTCTATTTCTGTAAAATTAGTATAGGAAAAGGTAAAATCGTATAACCAGTTTTAAACAGTAGTAAAAATCATTTATTTTAATCACACTTATCCATATTTTTAAACGTAGTTATAATTTAAAAAGGAAACTTTTTTCTAAACGTTCAATCTAGTATTGCATTCCGTTCGTGAGAAAAACTGGTTTTTCCTTATCTATTCCATACAACAACTTGAACTTCGGCATTCAATGAAAAGCGTTGACCTTTTTGCACCATCTTTAATTTTGGAAACGACCAGAACTAAAGAGAGTTTTCTCGGAGTAATAATTGCGTTCTTTTTCATGCATGTGACAATGAAATACAGTACGGCACTGCAGTAGGATAACGACGAAAACGCATAGGAATCTGAAGATATAGTTTAATAGCCTGTAACTTCATAGTCCTTGGGGTCCAGATCTGGTACAATTGGTTAAAGTGACTAAATCCTGAAGTGTAAAAAGCGGGACATTAGACGGGCGCTTCGCCGCGACATCAGATAAGTCATGTAATCGATTCCGACGACGATCGTCAATACCGACCTCATCGATGACGAACAACCAATAGGAACTTATCCATATAACATACTCTTGTTTACAAAATAACGAGTTACAGCGAAAGCGAAAATAAACGCTTAATTAAGGTTTTGAAGGTAGTTTTGTTTTCTTTAATTGCCTTTTTATAATATATCTCGGATAATTAGAAATTTGTAGGACGTGTTACTTGGCATATGTACACCTATACATTCACTTTCTACGACAGACAGATTGCCAGACTGAGCAATACATCGCCGATTTGTCTACTGTTTGTATAAATTAGATATTAAAATGTTTATGCCTTAAGTTATATACATTTTTAATTTACGATTTATGCAATAAATATTGGTTATTTTTGAATATATGAAACAGTGCAGAAGCGGGATATTTTCCAAACAGTTTTAAAAGCGGGACTGTCACGCCTAATTCGGGACGTCTGGTCGGTTTATATTAGACTTATTGCCTCCTTCGTAAATTAACAAATCAGACTTTTACTGCGTTCCAATTAGAATTTATTATTTTGTATATCAAAATTTCAGAATATTTATTAGTCAGGCAAAAGTTTTAATGTTTATTTACAAGAATATTTTATGGTTTTAGAATGATATGTTGTCTAATTGTTATCTCTTCAGATTTGTGAAAAATCATTTATAATATAGATAATTAATGATAAGTTTTAATTATACTGAAATTTAATAAGATCTTAATAAATTGGTAAATTAATAAAAATTTATTGCTACTAACAATGAACAGAACTCAAAATAAATGTATACCCACGAATAATGTCTATAGATTCAAACATCAACTATTTAGACTTACAAATTGTTTATATTCTTCGTTTTTATGCTTACAAATTTTACACATGATTTAGTATGCCTCTCTCAATATTGACTTTTCGTTGTTTAATAAAAAATTAAAATATTAGTTAAAGCCTGCCAATCTGGAAGACCGAGATTCGAAGTCGGGTTTGATGAATGCGCATGTTTAGATCTGTTACAACGCCTCTTAGTGTGCAAATAATAGTCTACTTTGCATATTGTGTTTTGAGTTATGCGTTTAAATATAATCAACATGTTAAATCAATTTCTTCATATGTAATATTACTATTACTTTCAAACTAGATTTTATTCATTGTTCGCCTACAAGCATCTTTCGTCTCCAGGCATTCATGTCAATTCCCGCTGTTTTTATCCTTTTTTACTCAGTTTAAACATCTTAATCTAGGTTTTCCTTGTGTTCGTTTCCCAGTCAGATTTTTTTCTATTTCTTTAATTAGGTTTTTATCTCTTCTAGTAGTATTTTATACATTCGTATCATTATAACCTTTTTCCTTTAATAGGGTTTAAAATGTATGTTTCTCTGTAGTTCCTTAGTTCACAATTTCTTCTTTTTTGGACTGCAATTTGAAAAAATTGTAAACCTATAAATTTTCACTATCGTTTGCTGTCTGTATGTCTGTTCTTCCTTAATATCGAGAACAATGTTAGATAATGAAATTAAAGACTAAGTATAGAAAGCATAGGGACAGGACAGGAGGTCCCGATTAACTATATAAGAACTTCTGATGCAAACCGAAAACCATGTTATTTCAATTCAAACATTTATCTTTGAAAGGAGTTAGATGATTGGCATGGCTCTGTTGCTAACAGGAAAAGTATGATATACAGGGGGCTCGACAATGGGAAAAGTGTTATGTACTGTACAGGGGCAAGACACTAGTTATTTTAGGTAAAGGCATATAACCTATTTTAAATTAAATAAATTAAAAAAAAAAATATGATTAAAAATTGCAGCACGACATCGTGACGATGTTACAATAAATAATTTCTTGTTCCCATTTTACATTTTTTTTAACTTTATGTGATTGCTTATTTATCAGTAGTATAGGAATAAAAGACACGACACAATAAAATTCATTTTTTTATAAATATAAAAGAAAATGAATTTTAATTAAGAAATGATTTTTGGAAAATTTTCTAGTGTTTGTTTTCCTTTTCTTTTGGAGGGTGCCATGGTCTCTTTCCCTCTCTGGTAACGCCACTTTGATGCAGTAATACCATTTTTCCACATACAAAATATGTTAAAAGTTTTTGTCATGATTGCGAAACAGATATTTGGGATTTAAAAAGTTATGGAACGTAAAAATTTTAATTAAAAAATAACTTTAAAAAATAAAGATAATTAAAACATAATAAAAAGTTATACATAATACTTAGAACGAAGAGAAATGCAAAAAAATCGGATTTTTTTCTGTGTGTATGGAATTTAGTATGTGGAGGGCACGATATTCATCATCCGCTTTGAAGCTTAATAACTTCTCTGCTTTTTGTCGAAAATTTCTGAAATTTTGCAAGGAGGATTTGTGTATTAGGAGATTGGCGCTGTTAAATTTTAGTGATTAAAGGTGGAATTTTGGAGATGAGGAGATAGAGGGGTCACTTGTCATATCTGAAATGGGGTCAGATTTTATGAAAATTTTACACGTTGTTTGCATTGTTTTTCTTTTATAAAACTCGTTTATAGTCTTAAAATTAAGCTTTTTGACATTTTCTAATAATTAATAATATAAAAGTTTTTTAAATAAAATATCGTAACAGATTGAGCCACACAAACTTTTAATCTTTGGCCGGCAAAGTAAACATTTTACCGCGGCATCTTATTACATATTAAAATTTTATAGTTTTTACTGCTTTCTTTTATATTTTAGGATTATTTTAAGATTACCAGATTGGCGCAGCATAGCCAATGAGGCACTTGTGCCATTAAACATTAATCAACAAACAAGCCGGCAAAGTTATTGTTCAACTCGATGCTGGATTTTTAAAATTTTTTGAATGTAGTATAGAGATCTTTTATATTGTATTATATTATGAAAGTCAAAGATCTTTTATTTTTATATTTATCTTATTTTTTTTATTTATTTTTTAGTATACTTTTGAAATAATTGTTACCACCGTATATTATGTTTCAGTGTATAATATTATTACTTTAATATCTCTTTTACCATATTGTATAAGATTTTTACCATTTTTATAATAATATAATACTATTGTTTTTATCGGTTTTTATTTGCTTACTTATTATTATATCGTAGTTTAAAATTTGGTAAATTTGTTTTCTTGTTATTTGTGGGAATTTATTTCTTTGTATTTTATATAGGGGAGACCGGGGCAAGATAGGCATGTTAAGCTTTACTTAAATTTTGTGTAATAAATACTGCTGTAAACTGAAAAAAAAAGCTTTGTATATTGTCTATAGCAGGGGTGGCCAAGCTCCTTGATGGTCCGACCCATTTTTCAAAATTTGAAATTTTTCTCGAGCCGCAATTAAAGGTATGCAAAAAATTCCAGATTACAAAAAATATCCGTAGCAAGAGTGATACAAATTGTTTCCTCCAGAGCACAATGTTAACTGTCCGTTGCAATAACAGTTTAAAAATTTAAAATCGGTCTGGAGTCGGTCGATAACAGACAATTACGCCACTGTTAATGTTCGTTCGCGCAGTTTTCGATGAGTCATATCATTCTTAACTTGGACGGAAATGAAATTTGTTACAACGTTGCACTTAGTCTTTCATATTTGAAAGACTAAGTGCAACGTTGATAAGTTCGTATAAAGCCTCCTCTCGGCGTCGTGCGGCCTCCTGTTATTCTGCGAGTAATGATTTTACGAGCGATTTCACTGATTCCGGGTCCTTCCCCGTATTCTTAATCCTTTATCCTCGTCGCCACTGTTAGGTTTTTAAAGTGTAAAGATCTTAAAGATCTCTAATCGTAGATCGCCGTTTAATATATAACAAATAAACGGTTATAACGGTCGGACTGGACACCGGTCACGTCCTGCTCGTCTGACTAACCCAAACAAAAAACATCCCCGAATCGCGCACCCACACGTAGGTATAACCTGATCGGTTCCAGTCATTTAAAAGACATTTTGAAACACATACGGACGATAATAATTTTTTAAAATATAATAACACAAAAATGAAAAGGGAACTTGGGTACAGTACATTTATCGAGAGCCACAAATAATCCTTCGAAGAGCCGCATGTGGCTCGCGAGCCGCAAGTTGGCCACCCCTAGTCTATAGGAATGTTTCCTTACTATAGAACTGGTTAAAATCAGTTTGGAAATAAAAATAATTAAAATAATTACAACTTTACAAAAAGAGAGAAGTTGCCCTATACCTGGGGCAACTTCGTCAATTTTTCTCTTATTGTAAAGTTGTAATTATTTTAATTATTTTTATGTCCAAACTGATTTTATAGGAATGTTTCCTTACTATAGAACTGGTTAAAATCAGTTTGGAAATAAAAATAATTAAAATAATTACAACTTTACAAGAAGAGAGAAATTGCCCTATACCTGGGGCAACTTCGGCAACTTCTCTCTTTTTGTAAAGTTGTAATTATTTTAATTATTTTTATTAAAGTTGCCCCTGGTATAGAGGCAACAGTAATGGGGCAAGATAGGCACGTATATAAAATTATGTTATTAACAATGTATAAGTTGGAATTCACTATTAAAACAAAGAAATACAAATCCAACACCCATTTAATATTATTACAACGAAATGCAAGTTCAAAGACATATATACATGAATAACAAATGCAAACATGTTTTCATTTATCATCTGTTTGATTTTTATCCTTTGCTTCTAATGTGGCTTTATGTTGCCGATCTTACCCCGCTAGTCATGATTTCGAAACATTAAGTACAACCCTGAGAACAGAATGCCAAGCCACGATCTGGCCACGTGAATAAGTTGAAGTTACATCCTTCTAACAGGAAAAGTAACTTTCGTTATCATGGAATTATAACAAAACCTGCCAATTCAATATAAATGGAAAAAAAATATTATATGGAATTGAACGAAAATGAAAATTTGCTTGATAATTCAACTACGCTTGTTGGAGAACAATAAAAACACTACACTCAACAAGCCACCAATAAAACTCAACTGCCTAACCTATAACCAAAGTCTCCTTTTAATTTGTTTTTTAAAAAAAAAGCGCTTGACAAACTTGCCTCGTATGCCGAAGTTGCCCCGGTCTCCCCTACTGTTTATATCAATTATTCACTGTATACATATATACATAAGTACTGTACATACTTACATGTTATGTAATTGCAGTAAACTGATATAATGATGTCTTCGGATAGGTTTTAAATAAATAATAATTTTTATTTTTATTTTTCAGATTAACTATGCATTGAAACTTATTCATTAGTAAACTTGTCAGCATATCTGTTACGTAATTTCCTAACATAAAAGAATTATGTATTTTCAACTATTGCATTTAGCCTTTAATACATGTTTAACATTATGTTGAAGTAAAACGAATTTACATGGAAAGTTGTGTTTAATGATGTAAAATTTTTTTATTTCTTTTAATTTAATAAACTTCATGATAAATTTTTGTGTTTGTACTTTCTTTTCAGAGAAAAACTATTATAAAGAATCTAAATCAGCGTTTCTCAAAGTGGGCGATAACGCCTCCTTGTGGGCGCTAGAGGCTTTCAGGGGGCAGTAGAAGGCTCAAAGAGAATTGGGGGGAGTTAAGGAAATATAGAGGGGCGACGGCAGACAAATTCTATATATAAAGTGTTGACATTTTATATATTTTTTATTTTTTATTGAAGGTCACAACTTGAATATTTCTAACACATTGACTTTTATTTTAGCTCAGCGTTTCTCAAAGTAAGCAATAACGCCCCCTTCTGGCGCGATGAATAGATCTATGATAGAGGCAGGGTATTGAACGGTGACCAAAGGCAAAATTGGGGCTGATAAGAGGAAACATTGCGTTTAATGGTTTCCAGATGATGAGAACAATGTACAGTAAGGGCACAAAGTGTGAGATTCATAGAAAAGTTTTCCTAAGAATATTTCCAATCCTTTTCTCACACAAGAGAAAATGGGTTAGGGGGCATTGGGTATAACTTTATGGAACAAAGGGGGCGGTGGATCGAAAAAGTTTGAGAATCACTGATCTAAATGAATGTAAAATTTTTAGATACACGTATGTTTTTTCTAAATATTGTTTTAACAAAAATATATTGTAAAAGTTTGATTGATCAAATCTCTGTATATAAAATAATCTATTAAATTGAAGTTACGATGCGAAACAAGGGGTGAGGATGTTTATAAAAATATTACATAATGCTAAGTCTCAACTCTTGAGTAATGGATAATTCATTTTCGTTTCTGAAGTGTTGCACAGATATCCGCAAGTCACTTTTTTGTACGTTTATACGTGTAATTGATAAAATAATGTTCGCCCCCTGCTGTGTATTATTAATTATTATAGTTAAGAAGGATAAGCTTACATTTTTATCGATTTTAACTTCGAATTTCAAAATTTGAGTTAAAAATATTAGTCTTAAATGTAATATATTATCTGTATTTAAAACAACACCAGATTATCTTTGTTTTTACAGATGTACTGTAATGCGAAAATTAAAGTTTAAATTTATATAATTTAACTGTCCATAAAATCGATACATTTTAATTTCTTATATTACAACAGGAAATTAAAATATATATATGAAGTTATTATTTTTGTTTCTCCTCTTATACAAGGTGACCACGTAAGCATCTATCCGAAGGGTAGAAGAGATCTTTCCAACTTTGAACAAGTGTGTGCATATGATACGTGCTTGTTTCAGGGCTAAAATAACGAAATAATCATTTAAAAACGATTTAATATGACATACAAATAATCTCTGTAAAAGATGCATTGCAGAAATTCATACAAAAAATCTACTAACGAGTTGCTTAACTTTCCTGGCAACATTAAAAACCTCATTTGGCGCTATCTGTTATGATATTTTATTTTTAAAAACGTTTTATATTTTTAATTATTGTAAAATGGAAAAAGCTTAATTTTGAGGACAGTGATGAGTTTTATTTTAATTAAAAAACTGTAAATACTAATAATGAGTAAAATCGTTACTAAGTTTTACCCTACGCGAGATATGACACATGACACCTCTTTATCTACGAAAAGTTAATAGCATCAATGCCCCTAGTACCCAAACCTCTTGCAAAGTTTCAGAAATGTTCGACAAAATGCACAGGAATTATTAAACTTCAAAGAGATTGAACAAAATTGTGCCCCTCATATATCCACGCACTAACATCCATCGTATAGAAAAAACCCCAAATGTATTTTTTTTTTAATTTTTCGACGTTTTAAGGTCTTTCGAGTCCAAAAATCTAGAAATCTTCGAGGGTCGCTTTTTGACGATCGCCATACTTTTCCTCTGTTATGTATAACGGAGACGGTGTTCAAAACGGCTGCCTTCAATAGCAATACAAAGATGCAAACGATTGAACGTGGTGTTATGGATGTCACATAGCACTCTTGATGTCACCGTTTAACAGTTCTGTAATACGCATCTTTCTAGTTCACCAACATCATGTGGCGCTGCTTGGTACGCATCATACACCAACGATTTTTTGTTGGGTGATCCCACACGAAAAATCTATAGTGAGGTCAAGTCTAGGAAGGTGGTAGCAATGGAACGGGGTCGTGTTGTTCTATTCAGAGATTACCAAACTGCTCTGCAATCTACTGACATACGTTTCTCGAGAATAAGTTAGCTACCATCTGCTGGTGCCAAACCTACTGTAATAGCACTAATTGTAAGTCATCGAGCCATTCTTCCACCGTTGTGTTTTAGGATGTTCAGATATCGAGTACTATCAATGAATACTAGACCAATAAGCCACTTACCCCAAATTCCACACCAGACATTTGGTAAAATCACTCGGTGTCACAATATGTTGCATGAATCACGGAGCACGATCTGCTAAGTGGTGTACAGTTGTGACTGTTATACCACCCATTACGGGGAAACAGTGATTCTTCAGTCTGTAAAATGTGCTGAAAGAGTTGCGTTTCGTTATACTATAAATTTATGTTACTCAAATCATCAAACGCTGTGCGTAATGTGCTGGTTGCAGATAGCAATAGAATGGGTGCACGTCACGGCGACCTAATACTTGTATTTGTGTCCGCTGCAGTCTGCAACCTAACCTATCTTAACCTAACTAATGCTGAAAGAGATCTTTGTTGCCTATGGTTAGTTCTTTAAATGGATGTTCTATATGTAATCAAGTGAGAGGAAAAAATAAAGTATATTCAGTCAGAGAATATAATCATTTGGCAATTAGGAAAATAAATGATCGTCGAATGTATAAAATTAAAGACAAAAAAGTATTACATTGATTTGGATTTGCTGAATTGATTTGGATTTGCTGAATTGAAACTCAGCACACATCATTGTTACTCAAAACAGTGGTCCATGGCTTCTTGTTCATAGAATTTTTTCCAAGCTGTTCTGTTTCCCAAACACTGGGACGTGCAGTTTTCCGGGTTTTCTCCACGTCTGTAACGCCTGTATAGGGGCCAGTTATCCTTAAAAAGATTTCCTGGAAGACATCCTCCTAGGCAGATCGCCCAAGTGTTGCGTTGCCGTAAATTAACAAACAAACTCTTTAATACATTGGAGAAAATGTTTCTTATACACATCATCAATTTTGAGGAACACTGATATGTATATATGATATTTTTCAGTTTTTTGCAATATAAGTGGTTGGACAATATCACAAGCGGTCAATGTAAATGAAGAATGACTTAAAACATCGCAAAATTTTAAAGATTGAAACTGGAATAAATGACAATAGGAAAACCCTACTATACTGCAGTCATATCTATAGGGCCTATTATTGTAAATCCATGTACCAAGTGATATATTTAGACAGCATCATTCAACGCTGTTTAGAAAGATATTTACAGTTTCAAATGCAACTAAATTTGCTATGGTGGCATTTCAAGACATGCGGAAAACATTTAAAAAATAAACAAAAAATCGTATCAAAATTCATTACTATGGCACTGCAAGCAACGAAAAAGCAGTTTTATTTTAGTGGACACTTAAAAAGTGTGGATGATAAACTCCATGCTGAAAATTTGGAAACCTTGAAAGACACTTTCCTACTGAATATAAGAACCATTGCAGACCATTATGGTCGGCTGTCGAAAGCAGTACGTTCGACGATCTTATCTGTAGGTGTTACATGTTCAGAATGAGTATAACATTGAACAGCATCTCTTGCATCGCTGAGGTCTCCGACTATCTTGTACAAATAAAATGTATTTGGTTATAAATAAAATAAACACTCTTTTATTACTCACAAGTTAAGGTAGAAAAAATAAAAAGGTGTAAAAGCGACTAAAATAAATTTGTAAATGTATAAAATGTTTATTTAGAACAAGAGTTTCCATCTTTTTCACTTGTCAATCTTTGTTCTGTGTGGATAAAACCGTTGAATGCTGGTAGTTGAGCGCGGGTTTGTACCCGACTAACGAGCTCGCAGTGTTTTATTTACATGTTTAATGCCTGAATATGGGAATATGGGCCATTTTCCTATAAAAAGTTGTCCCGGTAGATCTTTGGCAAATAACCCAAGCATTGTGTGTTGCCTGATGCTACCACTCCATTGCACTTGATCTTTTTAAAATTACAGGATGGTGGAATATAACTAGACATTGAGAAATCGCTGTAATTTCTATATTTTTAAAGCAATTATGATAAAAGTTATTTGACGTTATTTTACTAAATGGGTATATGGTTGCATACCATAAAACTGAATAGAGGCACCGGCGATATTCATCAACGATGGTTTCCTTAGATTGTGATGTAAATGGACGACCACTTTTTTGTGCGTCTGCAACCAAATCGTTGGTGATTTTAATTTCGAACGACAGTTCTTGATTGTTTCCGGACGAATAATGGCATGATGTTCCTTCATCGCACCCCGTTATTTCTGCACAATTATCACTAATTTTCACATCTCAGCTTGCAGCAAACTGCGCTCGCTCTTGAACAGACTAGCGGTCTGTCATCATTTTGCCACTGCGCGTGTGGTCTCGGTCATTGTTCACATCACCAATGTAATGATTATAAAATTCCATTGATTGATGTATATGCACATAAAAATTTTATTATTATTATATTATTATTATTATAAAATTATAGCAATTTTTCAATGTCTAGTTACTTTCCACTGTTCTCATAGATTTAATTTACCGACTACACACTGATGCCGAATAAAATAAATTACAAATAGAATTAAATAAAAACTCAAATAACGATTTAACAATGTTTTTATTAACTTAAATTAAAATTAAAAAATTGTGAGCTTTAATAAAATTTAAAATATATAACCGTTATAATCATAATATTTTTAAGTATAATCAAAATAAATTTGACCACCAACCAATAGTAATTTTATTGGCAGTAAACAAGTAATCTATTGGATTCATCATAGACATTAGTTGAGTACTTTGCTTTAAAGCATGATATTAGCTAGAGCAAGTAAACTATAAAGCCGTTTATTAACACAATTAATAACATTAAATTTCAGATATAAACAATAAATTTATAAAAGTTGAAGTACAAATACAAAAATTTTATGTAGGCCTACATAAAAATAGACATACAGATATCATTATTTGTAAAATAATTTAAAATCTTAATGTCAGTAAATTTAATTATAATAATTTTAATTTACCATAGATTAACTTAGGCTAAAAAAGAGAGGTGTTTTAAAGGGAGGAAAAAACTAGTTATTTGGTAACAGCATGGCGATGATTCTTATACTTTAAGTTCGCTCGTGTGAAGAAGTATGATGGATATAGTGATGACATTCAAGATTTGTCGTCGAATTTAGTTTATTGTCTTCTTTCTAAAAATAAAAAAGTAAAAAAAAGCAATTAGAAAACCCTGAGCTATAATGTTAATGAATGTGTATAAAATTCGAGTAGCATCTAAAAAATAAAACTTAAATCTCGCATAATATTTCTTTATTGAATTAAACTGAATTATCTTTTCTTTTTTATCTTTTCCCCATCAAGCTAAAAAAGGAGTCGTTTTACTACATCATCTGAACGATTTCTCAAATTCAGAGCTAAAAAAAAATAGACTCACGAGGCTCTAGATCCATTCTTACTAAATCACTAGAAGACATGATTTTAATAATTAACCAATTGCAATAAATCAATCCAACAGTAAAAAACAGAAAGAAAAAACAAAGAAATAAAGTACCATTATCCAAGATGCCACATCTTTTCGGAAATCCTCTGTTTAATCAATAGCTTATTGGTTGCAAGATTTCTCTTTACGTTAACTTTTTAGCGCAATTTATTCCTATAGTTAGATAACTAACTTTTTTTCATATAAGTGGACTATCTTTTAATATTTATTCAGTTGAAATCTTTTTGACACAATTGGATCGTTTTACAGTATTTCAAAAATTTCTCATTAAACGTGTTTCATATACGATTCATGTCTACAAGTTTTAGATCATGAATCCAAATGTTCCATTATAAATATGGTTATTCAAATGCAAGTACATTCTATCATACAGTATCAAAATGTAAATATTAATTGTTAGATGCATGAGTTGACATTAGAGTTACAGAATATTATTAACCTTAATTCAAATTAAAATCAGTAAATAGCGTGTCTTGGAGTAATTGATTTTACTATAAATTTTGAGATGTATATTATTGCAAGATAATGAATATAAAAATAAAATAATTGCTTGTATATTGACTACGGGCTATCCTCGACTTTCTAACAACTCGTTCTTATGCACAGTGCATAGTATTTGGAGTACAGAAAACAATTTAGGGTATCGAAATTCGCAATTTCGTACATCTTCAGCTGATAAACAAAAATTTCGAAGTAACGTACATTAGTCGGAAAAAGAAAAAAATGAATGAACTTTACATGGCATTTGTTTAAAAAACATTATTCGGACGACCGGATGATTGAGATGGCAAGGCATAGTCTACCACTCCGGAAGATCATGGTTCGAATCTGAATTTTCAGGAACTTCTCTAGAATTTTTGATCAATCAGTCCCGTTTTTCACCATCTAGCCGTGTCCGGGTGAATAAAACGACTGAACAGTTGAAAGACCATGAAAACAAAATCATTTTTTTATGAGAGACTAAATAAATACGAAGTATTTTAATCGTAATATTGCCAATAAGTGTTTTGAGATTTTTAACCTTTCAACAGTGGTGTAGTCAGACGCTGCGCTACCATTTAGTTGTGGAGAAGAAGCGTGGGAAATTTTTTAAGAATTTTCCCACGCGTTTTTCTCGTTTTCCTTCCGGAAAAATTTTTTAAACAGTTACGTCTAGTAAAGAAAAAAATCTTTCTTTATTGTCACATAATTCTTTTTTATGTGAATTTTTTTATTGCGGTAATTTTTGTCTAATTTTTTTTTTCAAATTTATATTAAATTACTTTATGATTTTCTATCCATTACGATTTTTTCAAAAGTTTTGAATTTATTTTCAATTTTATATAATTTTTTAAAGTTTCAGGCATTTAGGCTAAGTCATGACGACTTTTTCCAAACTGCGAATCAAATTCAAGAAAATGTAATTGACAGTTAAGGAATTTCATCCATGATTGTAGATGACGTAACGGTTGTTATGTTTACAATTATGACGCCTGGCGGCCTTACCCCCCCCCCGGATTGTAAAGTGGGTGAAGGTCGTCTCCTGTTCTTCTTTCTGTAGAAGTGACGTAATCATTGTAAATAAAAGAAAATTTCAGTATATCTTTTATTTAATTTTAAAATTTGTTGTTCAAATTTACACCCAAATATTACAGCGGTTTAAAATATTAGCATTTGGTAAATATACTTAATTTACTTATAATAAATATAGGCTAAATAAAATTTTAAGAAAGAACAAAACAACAACAAAAAAATGCGGAAATATTTTTTATATTCATCTTCAGATTTATTACTTATGTTATATTAATTCACCGGTATTTAATTTTAAAACAATATTCATTATTGGCATGCATCAGAAAATAAACCATAACTTTTGTAAAAGACACTTCCCTGAGAGGGTCCGATGCAGTCTGAAAAAGTCGACAGTCTACGTCACCAATCTAATGTGTGACCTACTTTCTCTAACAGTAAAACGAAGTAAGTTACAGTACAACAAGGCCACTATATTGAATACATGCCACATTGTTAGGAAATTTCTGAATACAGACACTGACACATTATTTAATTTTTATTTTTGGTTGCTATGCCTTGACTCTGTTCCGGCATAGTACAAAGCCACCGGTGTGAACCGAGTAACCCAGTAAACCCAACACAATAATAATAATAATAAGCGCAGACCCCAAATGGTTAGGAGTTGAAAGTTGAAATTTGGTACACAGTTAGGGTACGTTACGAAAACGCATCCTACGAAGGGATTTTTCGAAATTCCCCCCGGGGGGAGAGAGACAGGATTAAGGTTTCGACAATGGAAATATTAAGAAACATTTTACTAAATATTTACAATTTGTAAAATAAATACAAAGTAATATATAACGAAATTTATAATAACAGCTAAAATATAAAATCTTCCGAAAATTATAAGTAAAACATTTTAGATATATGTATACATAATTTATGTTTAGCTTATTGTAGATTATAAAGCAGCGGGTTAAACTATGAATTAAGGACCAAAAATAATTTACTTACTGTTAATCCTTATATTTATGATACCCCCAATGTTTTCCGAAACCTCCAAATCCAAATCCACCGAAACCACCTCCGAATCCTCCGTATCCACCCCCGTATCCTCCATGTTCACCTCCGTATCCACCTCCGTATCCTCCGTGTCCGCCACCGAATCCTCCATGTCCGCCACCGAATCCTCCACCTTTTCCACCGCCAACGAAAATTTTAATTATTTTGCCACCTCCATGTCCAAAATGCTTGGTAGCATTAACATGTGAAATAATTACAATTAAGAAAACGGCCAAGATCTAAAAAAAAAGAAACAAAATTTTTGTAAATGATTATTTAATATGTAACTTAAATTACATTAGAGGCATATATTTACCAAACACTTCATGACGACGTTAATTCAATATTAATACTGTTTTTTCCTCTCACCCTTATCTATATAAGACAATTTTCAAGGTTATTTAATTTACCAAATTAACAATTCCTTCTGGGAAATTCAGAAGTTGCCCTTTGATCTATTGGAAACCATCCAAGAAGAGGAAATGCATGAAAATTCATATTATTTATTATCATAAATTCGCGAGGGAAAATATTTTTTATGAAATTGTGCGGTTATTTGGTTATTTCTAAGATAATTCCAGAAAAAGAAATTATGAGGTTATTTGTATGAAATTCCATAAAATTCCCCTCTTTTTTTAATTATCTACAATCTATATTAATCAATACAAAGGTATTAAACTGCAAAGTTTAATTAAACCTTTGTATTGATTAATATAGATTGTAATTTATAATTTAATTACAAATGAAGAAAATATTACTTTATTCACTTATTAAATTTTCTGACTTTCTCTGCATAATACATTAATAATTACTTTATTATTAAAAATAAAATTTCAATTTGAACATGTTAATAAGCTCTCATATTTTATTTTTTTAATACTGTATCTTCTTCCATCACAACCGACTCAATCTCCTTCCTACTCGTAATAACTGCTTTGTGGTAAAACTTAATAACATTAACGTATAAAATAATTACAATTATAATATACCCAATATTTACCAAAAAAATGAAAATTTTGTAAATATTTTAAAAGTAAATTAAATTTAAATAACTTTAATAATTCTTTATGACAAAAATGAAAAACTTTGGCTTTTTAATTCGCTCATAATCAGATAATAATGCTTTAATGAAAATGATAGTTTCATATCTTTTCTTGACGGATTTAGTTTCTATTTCTTGCACGTTAGAATTTTTATAGAAAGATTAAACCCTACTTTATTCAATGACACAAACCATGTTTTTACTGAAAATAAGCACAAATTTTCAGATATTCATCTTAATAATCAGTTAAGTCAGAGGGAAATAAAAGAAACAAATTACTCTGTTCCCGAAGAAGTAGTGGCCACTATATAATTTTTTTGTTTATTTCCTTTAATTTAATATAATAATTTAATTTGCTATAAGATCCCCAATACGTATTTCACTCCAAATTGCCGTTACCCTCTTGACGGCCCTGTCTATCCATCATTTAAGCAGATATTTTGTGAAATTTAAGACTTATTGCTGTTTAAATATTTAATCATCTATTTCAAGAACAATTGTTTATCGCATTAGTTCATCCCCCATTCACGTTGCAGACTCTATTGAAAGGCTGTTGTTCTAGTAATTCTATTTATCTGCAATTAAATTGTTTAATAAAATAAATACAACATGCATAATTATATAACTAATTGTTATACACCCCTATATTTATCGACTTAAAATGTCGTTTTTCGACCACCTAGATTCTATTCCGTGTCTCCCAGACCGATAGGAATAAGCTGTAACCTTAACCACTGGCGAGGGGGAAAATATGATGGAAAATATTACGAATTAATTCTATTATTAACTTAAAAATTATTTTATAAAACCGCAGATTAGTCAATGTAAGTTACTTTTGACTTATTCAACAAAACAGTTTTACACGCGTATTATAAGACGAATCATGTATTACAAAATACACGTGTCGCACTTAGATCAAGTGTATTTTATCTATTTTCGCATAATTTAAGAGGTATTGTTACCTGTTCGCGCGTGTCATATACGTGCCGAAATTCATAATCAACTCTATGAAACATTTCCGTTTTCAAAATGTTTACAATAAATCTTTTAAAATTTATAAGAGTCTCTAGAACTTTATTAACCACGTATTTCTACTATATTAAAATTCGTGAAAGTTATCTGATATAGGATTTGGGTTGTCATTGAATAAAAACACTTGTGATCTCTCAAGAATAGGGCGACTCTGTATGTTACTTCCAATCCCTTCATCCATATTGACTAGCCCCATTAAAATTATTCGCATAATTTTTTACATTTTACGACGTGTTTAGCAAGCCAAACTCTTGCAAATTTAATTTTTTTTTTTCATATTTACACTCACAAATAATGTATATACAGTAGAACCTCGATTATCCGGACTAATTGGGGATGAAGGTAGTCCGGATAAGGAAAAATCCGGATAATCGAAACAAATACTTTAATTTGTCTGATAATACAACACGTTTTCTTTTCGATGACATATCGGTAATATTAAAAATAAATACTGTATTTAAATCGTGATCAAATTTTCAAGAAACAAACGTTCGTATTGAATTTGGACTACTACTGACCAACGCTAACAGACTAACTATTGTTTAAAAGGCCCTCTGGTGGCGCAAGAAGACGGATTCTATAAAATATTTATGAATCAAAATTTGACAAAGTATCTATCATTTTATGACGACTATCGTTTTTCGTCGCGTTCGCGGCTTTTAAGTGATGCATAAACCTTCAAAACGATGGCATAGGCGGTGGCCCACGTTGCCCATGCTTTATGCCGCCCTTGGTCATAGAAATGAAGTAATTTGAAAATAAATTATCTATAAATACGTATGTCAAGTTATATTTTTATTACGGCGCAAAATATATTTAAGAGTTTACGGCCACTGTGCCGGGTGAGACGTCGTTGAAACAAAAAAAGTTATGCATTCCATCACGTACATAAACAGTATCGTAATTCGCCAAGTGCAAATCAGCAAATTCTTAAAATTTTTGTTTATTTTGAACAATCCGGACAATCGAAAATCCGGATAATAGAGGTCCGGATAATCGAGGTTCTACTGTATTGTTAAATGATTATTATAATTTTAACGTGATTGTGTTATTGGTTTATATGAGTTGGCTCAAGTCCAGGGTCGAACTGGAAAGAAAATTAGTTCTGGGAAAACTACAGTCATTTCAAGTGATATAATTAATTCATAATAATGTTACAATCTCATATAATTTGAATTTCGACTTGTGATGAATAAAATAAATAATTATTGTATAAGGAATTACAAAAATAGAGTATCCTTATAACATTTCATGTATTGTATTCAAAGTTGAACTATAAGTAAATAAATAATCATAGTTATTACTTCTACTTAATTTAAAAAAAAAAGTGAACGCTGTGTTTTATGAACAATTTTTAACAACGAAATAAATGCATAAATTAAAAGTTAATTCATTTATATTCGCATTTTCGTTAATAAAAATTTTTAATTAAACATTTAGGGACTGTTACGGTAAAAAGAATTGATTTAATAACTAAAAATTCTTAGATTTTAGATTATTAAATAAGAATTAAAAGAAAAAAGAATATACACAAACTTTATGTAGCGTAACCACGGAGAGACCCAGGTAACCGCCTCCACTTTTGTAAATAAATAAATGCAGAAAACATCAAACAAGTACAGAAAAAATTAAAATGTGGTAAATGCACTTATTCTTAAGTATATACAGTATTTAAGTACTATCTCCTCATACACAGTGCCAATGGCTACATCCACAGTCCTCACTTAACGTCGTCGATAGATTCTTCTAAAATGAAAATTTAAGTAAAATTACATGTAACGAAACCAATTTTACTATAGACTAAATGATATAAAGAAGAATTAATCTTATACAGCATATTTTGTCATAAAAAAACCAAACTTTTAAATAAAGGCCCGTCATATTTATTTCTACGTTTCTAAATATTAAACGTAAAAATAAATATGACCTATACGTACATTTAAAAAAGATGAATAAAGACAAGATAATTATTTACCCAATTTAAGGAATCAGTATGTGACGGCAATCGTAGCGATGGCGGGTAAAGCTGATTCGTCATCAATTATAAGGGCGAAGATGAGCAAAAAAGAATAAATGTTTGCGAGTGAATATTGTAAGGATATTTTCCTACCACAACGTGGTTTAAAAACAAACAATTGGAGATTTCAACAAACTATAGAGGGCGCTGTATAAAGTAAAAATGGCGAATGAAAATGGCGCGAGTTTAATTACAGTTTACATTAAATGTCTTATGTGTTGTTAATGTTTACATACGTTCTCGTTATTTGTAAGCAAGATAAAAGTATAATGAATGCATATTATAATCAGATTTCAAGAAAAAAAATTTTTTAAGTTTTGGGTATCAAAGTTGTGGGTATCAAAAGAGTATTTTTAATCATAATCATCAGATATGGCCTAAAATGAAACGACCGGGCGATGAGAGACGAGGGCCATTTATGAAAAATTCTGGGGAGTTACTCGCTTGGGGAACCCTGTAATCTGGAGGCTAATGCTTTAACTGGCTCGGCTACAGTCTTAAAAGAATTTGGCTAATGTTATATTATTATTGGATTGTTTTCAATCTCCAGCATTGAATTTCCATATCGTAGAATCAATTTTACTGTTTATAAAAAAAAATTTAACAAGAATAATTGTAGGTCTTGTATTTTTTCTCATCAATGTTATAACAAAACGACATTAAACAAGGGCTTGGTGTGTGTTTTTTATTTATATTTTGAATGATTTTTTAAAAGTTATTTCATATTATAGCAACAGATATAATGTAATATATGGCTTGCTAAATATTAAAAGTAAAGCTCAAATATATTAAAATAAATCAAAAATATATCTTAATCATTAAAAGATTTATTTTCTAAAATTAAGTTGACTATTAAATTTATATAGATATGCTACAAATATAATTTATAGATTATTTAATTTCAACGAAATAAAAAGCACTTGTTATATAAAATTAAATTTTTGCAAATGAAATTTAATAATAACATAAAATAATTTTCTTAAATATGTAAAATGGGGTAAAAACATTCTTTAAAAACAATAAAAACTAATACCTTAAAAGTCGTTGGTTCATTTTACTTCTCGATTGCCTATCAGAAGAGAAAAATATTCTATTTTTTTTTCAAAGCCTGAAGAGGGATGGAAAAGAACATTTTGTAAAATTACCTGAAATGCATAGCATTGTTTTGAAAAATAAATAGAATATTTTTGGGCTTCAATTTGAAAAAATTGTAGACCTATAAATTCTCACTACTGTCCTTTCATTTTCTGCCTGTCTTGCCTTAATCTCGAGAACGGAGTTATATAATTGAAAGACGAAACAAGATATGGAAACGTTAGGAGCAGGAAACCCTGATTAACCATATAAGAACTTCCGATACAAAGAGGAAATCACGTTATTTCAATTCAAATCTTTTCCCCCGAAAGCAACTAATAGATGACCAGCACGACTCTATTGTTAAAAGAAAAGTATGATGTACAGGTGCAAGCCACAGCTATTTTGAGATGGAGAGAATATATTTTAAGTTAAATAAATTAAAAATATAATTAAAAATTGCAGCCCGTCATTGCGACGATGTCATAACAAATAAATTGTTCGTTCTGTTCTGAGTTTTCTTAGTTCCTTGTCTCTAATAAAAGACCGTCCAGAAGTAAAACAAACCAACAATTTTTAAGGTTTTATTTTTTATTGTGTTTAAAATAATTTCAAATGAATTTTAATCAATTAATTGTATAATAAATTTAAATTTATTAAATATTTATAATCAATATTAAATTAAAAAATAATTTTTTTTTTAAATTTTAGTAGTAATATTCATATTTTGCTAATAATTTCTTTCCTGATGTAAAATGATGCTATAAAATGTCAGAGATCTTTTAAAAATTCAAAATTATTTGATATTTATTGCTATCAAAGAAAACTGGCCAGAAATCCCCTGGAAGAATATTTAAATCAACCTGTTTATTCGCTTAGACCTTAGAAAATGAATACTTTCAGGTGAGTTGAAGGACGATTTCGTCACTGATGTTGCTCTACTGGTTTATTGCTGTACAGCATACACTCAAGAAGTATTTAATCTTACGGCTTCTCTAAGGTTTCAACATGAAAAATTTGGTAAGATATATTCTAAACTATTAGATATTTATATCTCTATATAATGGAAATAATTTAAACTTTTAGTATATTATATTATATTTTATTTTTTTATTTTCAGGTCTTGATTTTCATTTTGATAGTTATTTTTTCTGTCATCAAAGCTGATAGAAATGCTCCGTCAAAAAAAGGTAATAAGCATGGAAGTGCTTTCAAACATGATACAACAAACGAAAAAGTCTTACCAGCAGAAAAGGGAGATACCCTTGTAATTCTGGAGGCAGAAGACAATAAGAAACAGGAAAATCAAGCTCAGAACGACACACTACATGATATAAGTCAGTGGACCCGTTTTGGCAGTGGATTCTCTGGATAAATAAAAGTAATATTTTAAATGAAAAAGTTAAAGATAATTTCTATTCTTTAAATTTAAAATTTTCGTATATCTGTTTTACTTTATCTTTAAATAGCATGAAATTTTCTCATTCTGCAAAATAAATTATTTAATTTTAAATAAAATTTATGTAATATTTTAAAATGTAGATTAATGAATGGCGCATTTAAATACTAATTTAATATACTTAAATTATTTATTATAGAACTTAATAATTGTGAATTTTTCGAAGCTTTCAATTAATTTTTGTTCGTATAACCGTATTATATAGGCCTAAACCAAAATTTCAGAATATTTACTAGTCTGGCGAAAGTTTAAAGGTTTATTTGCAAGAAAATATTAAAGACTTAAGGTAACATTGGCTAAAATTGTTACCATAATCGTTATTAGATTTGAGAAGAAATTATTTATAATATAGATATTGTTAGGTTCTTAATTTAAAGTGTAAAGATCTCTAATCGTAGATCACCGTTTAATATATAACAAAGAAACGGTTATAACGGTCGGACTAAACACCGGTCACGTCCTGCTCGTCTGACTGACCCGAATAAAAGACATCCCCGAATCGCGCGCCCACACGTAGGTGTAACCTGATCGGTTCTAGATTGAACCCCTGTCGTTAGGTTTTCACACATGGAAAACACCTGCAGTTTATGCCGCATAATTGTTCTTTCCAGAAGGGTTGACTCGAAGCCGTCCAGTTGGGATTCGAGTACGGGCGAATAGGCGCGGAGACTGCGATGTTACTTTCTCGGGTGGTGATTCTTCATCCCTTAATGGTTGAGCGGAGATGAGGCGTGATAAAGCATCAGCTTGTCCAAATTCAGTAGTTTTCCGATATTCGATCTTGAAGTCGTATCCAAGAAGAGTCGTTGCCTAGCGTTGCAAACGGTTGGCTGTGTGTGTCGGAATACCTTTCTTGTTGCCGAAGATGGCGAGGAGAGGTTTGTGATCCGTGAGAAGCGTGAAAGGTCGTCCGTAAATCATCTTGTGGAACTTGTGAACAGCGAAGATGAGTGCAAGACCTTCATTTTCGATTTGACTATAGTTCTTCTCGGCTGGAGTGAGCGCGCGAGACGAGTGAGCGATAGCCTTGATTGATCCGTCGGGCAGGCGGTGTTAGATGACGGCACCAAGCCCTAGACTTGACGCGTCGGCTGCGACAATGATATCGAGCGTCGGATCATAGTGTGTGGGAAGTAAATCCGACTTGAGAATGTCCTTGATGCACTGGAAGGCCCGTTGACATTTGTTCGACCACTGCCACTTTAGGTCTTTCTGGAGTAATTCGTCTAGTAGTTGGCGAATTTGACGCATGTTGTGAACAAAGGTTTGGTAGCAGTTTACCATACCGAGAAATGAGCAAAGTGTGGATAGGTCTGTCGGCGGTGGCATATTGATGATAGCGTTGACCTTAGAAGGGTTCGGGCGGCGTCCGTCCTTATCGATGATGTAGCCTAAGTATTTGATGGTATCCTTGAAGAATGCGCACTTCTCCGGTCGGATTCGGAACCCATAGTTGTGGATACGATGGAACACCTCGTGGAGATGTCGGTGATGATCGTCCACGTTGCAACTAACGATGACTAAATCGTCTAGATATGCAAAGGCAAACGATAGTCCCGAGATCATGATTTCCGGCTCCAGGCATCTTCCAATCGATCATGGAGTCCATGACCGATTGGAAGATGCCTGAAGCCGATTTCACTCCGAATGAAAGACGTTGGAATTCGTAGAATCCGCGGTGTGTTGCAATGTTGCAGAATTTCTTGGAAGTTTCCTCGAGTTCCACTTGCAAATAGGCTCAGAAAAGTCTATTTGTGAAAATATTCGACCACCGTTGAGTGTGGAAAAGATGTCTTCCGGAAGTGGTAATGAGTGCTGATTGAGCTGGAGAGCGTCGTTGAGACCCTTTGAGTAGTCTGTGTGTAGACTACACAAAGACGTGACGATCCGTTAGGTTTCGTAATTACTATGATAGGAGTGACCCATTCGACATAGTCGACGGGTGTGATGACTCCTAAGTTCAGCAGGCGATCGAGTTCCTCTTCCACTTTCGGTCGTGAGGCGTAGGAAACTGATCTGGCTTTGCGTTTGACAGGTGAGACGTCTGGCTTCAACTTTAACGAAGCTTTCGTTACCTTGCAGAAAGTCCTTCCTCGAAAACTTCTGGAAAGTTGCGCTGCAATTTCCAGAATGCACTGGAAATTCGATGACTCGAAGCTCATTGTTTGGCTTCTTCAGATGTTGACATCATAGACCTTAGCAGCGAAGAATTGAAAGTGATACATAGCATCGATTCCGAGGAGGTTGAGAACTCCTTTCTTGGTTACATAAAACGGTTCTTCTTTGCGGACATCATTGTGACAGAAGGTGATGCGTCCCTTCCCTAAGAATGATGGCAAGAGATCTGTATGAATGGTGGCTTCCGTCGTAAGATCTGGCTCGTTCCGTACAAGGCTGGAGTGTGGGTCGTCCGATGGCATCGTATGTCGTTTCGTCGATAATATTAATTTCGAGATAGAAGTCGACTGGGTGTCCATTAACCTCAATCTTCGTTTTTAGCAGTCGGCAGGCGTTTACAAAATTTTGGATAATTCCTACCCTGGCGGAGCACACTTGCTTTTTCTTCTGTGGTCGTCGACATAATTTTTCTAAATGTCCTACGCGATTGCACTTTTGGCATTTGTACCTTACGTGTGGACAGTCTTTGTACCACTCACCACATCGCTTGCACGTACTCGGTGGACGATTTGCTTTCTTGGTCTTTTCTTCTTTAGGCGGGGTCTTGGCGCGGACGATATTAACCAGACGTTCTGTTTCTTCGTATAACTTATTTTCGGAACGCATCGCTATAAACTTTTTACAGTCGTTCATCACGTCGTCGAATGTAACGTTTTCTCCATCCGAGTTAAGCTTCTGAAGAATTCGAGCGCGTAATGACTCATGGGCTTTCGACTTAAATCCAGTGAGAACGACTAGACAAAAGAACTGTTCTTCTGTCTGAGCACGAAAGTTATATTGTCGTCGGGCCGCTCTCACTCGGTTCGTGAAATGGCGGAAGTTTTCACCATCGTCAATTGCAATGCGTAGACAGTCGTAGCGGGCCGCGAAGATCGAACGTTTCTTGCTAAAAAGTTGGAGAAGTCGCGAAGTGGTTTCCTCGTGGTCGAAGTCCGTAATACACTTCGGTATACAGTACTTATTGTACTCGCTGAAGGCGGACGCAGAAAGTTTAGTCATAAGAAACTTGACTTTCTCCTGGTCGGCCATCTTGGGTGACACGAAGTCCAAACCGAACTCAAAACGACTTATCCACTCGTCGAATTTTGAGCCGTCTTCTTCATCAGGTTAGAATTCCGGTAACTGAGGTAGTGTTCCTGAGGACGATGTCGACAATGAGAGATGTGTGTGCAGACGAACGAATGTCTTTGATAAGTTCGTATAAAGCCTCCTCTCGGCGTCGTGCGGCCTCCTGTTATTCTGCGAGTAATGATTTTACGAGCGATTTCACTGATTCCGGGTCCTTCCCCGTATTCTTAATCCTTTATCCTCGTCGCCACTGTTAGGTTTTTAAAGTGTAAAGATCTTAAAGATCTCTAATCGTAGATCGCCGTTTAATATATAACAAATAAACGGTTATAACGGTCGGACTGGACACCGGTCACGTCCTGCTCGTCTGACTAACCCAAACAAAAAACATCCCCGAATCGCGCACCCACACGTAGGTATAACCTGATCGGTTCCAGATTGAACCCCGGTCGTTAGGTTTTCACACGTGGAAAACACCTGACCCAACAGATATTAAAGATAGATTTTAGTTCTCTAAATTAATTTATAATTCAGGTCAGATCATTACAAATCTTTATAGAAATCGTATCGCAAAAGCGTATAAAAAAGAACTGAATTCGGCGTATCTGGACCAGATACGCCGAATTCAGTTCTTCTCCATCTGACTGCCCTATACAGAGCCTGGCAGAACCTATGAATGATCTTTTGTAACAGTCACTAAGTGCTCAAGGAGTAGAGAGAGAAAAAAAAGGATGATGAACTTTTCGGTGCATACCGTAAAATTAAGCATGCAGGGTATTGTTTTCTCATACATTTCAAAACAATTCACGTGTTAAATAAACCCTTTCGTAATGATTATATAACTTAGACATTATAAAACACAGAAAGCGACGACACTATATACAGTTGTGGACAACGTCTAAAATTGAAATATAAACGAAGAATTTATCTCAAAAACTTGAAAATACAAGATAAAGTCAGATATAAGAGTTTCTCTAGATTTGCAATGTACAGTACATCTTCAATAAAATTTCATGTTTTTATTTATAACCACATACTATTTGATGATTTTGTATTAACAGGCAAATTGGATAATATAAATTTAACAATATTGCCTATGTATATACATAATGCAATCATATACAAACTTACGTTATGTCGTTGGTATGTGTTTTCTACTTTTGGCGGAATAGAAAAACATTCAATATTTGTTTACAGAGAATCAGTGAAAATTTTGCCTTTGGATGTGTAACGATGTTCTTAGATATAGAATAATCATTAGGATTTTTTCAGATGAACCAGTATAAATTTAAAATATTACTTTTAACCAAAACCCATATGTTTATATGAATTAGATCTTCTGTGTTATTGGAATTTTATGATACTAAATTAGTATAGGATACAAAAAAACACGTCTTGAGATTTGCATTTATAACTTTTTTTTTTTAACTTAAATAGGGAAATAAGGTGAATTGGGGATGATGTCATAGTTAAGGAATATTTCGTAACAGACGGGAAACTACTCGTCATTAAGCTTCGAAAATTTTACAGGAAAATTGAGAGATATTTGTTTAACTGTGTTTTATTGGAAAACATCAGATTTTTACTGGTAACGTAGTAAGCATCCAAAATTTCCTATCTTTCGTAAGTAACATCTTTCCTGGACAGGCGGTAAGATGCTATTTGTATCTAATATATAATCGAGGCGGGTTGATAATGTTAATCATAATAATAATAATAATAATAATAATAAGCGCAAAGATCAAACGGTTAGGAGTTGAAAGTTGAAATTTGGTACACAGTTAGGGTACGTCACGAGAATGCACGCTAAGAAGGGATTTTTCGAAATCCCTCCCCACGGGGAAGAGGACCTGTTAAGTAACACTTCCATTAATAATGGAAGTGTTACTTAACAATGGAGGTGTTAAGTAACAATGGAATTGTTAAGAGAAAGCGAGGTGCAAAACTACTTTTATTTATATAATTCTCTAATTAGTCCGGAAATAGGGGGACCCAATTCTTGCATTCTGTGAAAACGGGTAAGGTTGACTATAACGTAATAATTTTAATCTTCATTATCGTTACTTTTGCCCGAGCAACGCCGAGCCTCCCTGCTAGTAGAATATAAAGTAGTGAAGCAATAAAAGATATTTTTAGTTTACATTGTAATACATTAATTAATTCCAGGCCCACAAACTTTATAACGATTATTTCAAACATATTTTAAAGCGCTTATTAAACCTTCTGGCATTACATTTATTATATTTTTCATAAACTTCAGAAAACATCTAAACAGAACATAAATGTCCCCCTCTCTCTCTTTCCTCTCCTCTCCTTACATTTGTTTTCTACAATTATCCCCGCTACGGATACACAACTTCATGAAACTATTTTTTACATACGATGCGGTCAAATGTGGTTGGATTGAAATGAATTGAAATCCAATCACATTTGACCGAATACAACGTGGCATGTCAACCGTCGGTAATACATGCCACCACAGTTTATTTCTCAAACTGAGACACAGCCCTACCTATCCTTTGTTATCGAAGCCACATAGGTCCCAGTAATATGTAAAACATATAGGTTTACATTAAATATAGGACCAACAGTGTTTACTATCAGGAAGAGAAATATAATATATCTACTCACCAGCAACAATAAGCATAAATTCACAGTTTTCTCAGATAAATTACGATAAGCTACGAGAAAAATATGACAATTCGTTTTGAGATTTTAGAGGTACAAGCAATTTTTGTTAGCATTGGAAGAGGTCATTTAACTTCTATAAAGGTAACTGGTATGTGAATTTAAAAGCTAGAAAACTATGCTATGTTCAAATTTAAACACATTTATCTTACTTTTGTGGGCTTGATAAAAGTTTCGGTTTTTCAAAATTCACAGTTTCGAGAAACAAAGTTTTTATTAAACAGTTAAAAAGTTTTTTTTAAGTTTTTAGTAATCAATGCAATTGCAAAACAACCAACAAGTGTTACAAGGGAATGACGTTCATTATGTTGACTTAAATTCATTTGACCCCTAAATTATTTTTTAAGCCTGTCTTAAGTTGAATTACAATCACATATTTGACAGAATTGCTAACTTCTTATATCAAATTTTCTGTGAATTTTCAATTGATATGAGGAAAATACAGTAATCGACAATACAAGTAAATTTGGAAAAGCGCTTACGTGTTTAATATACCTATTGGTGACTATATAGCCTCAGAGTATTCCAATTCAGATGAAGAAACAAGTAACTGGAAAAATTCAGTTGATGGAAGCGATTGTGAAATGCTGGACATTTCAGTTCTTTCAACAGACGATGAACCTAGTTTTTTTCCCAAAACAAATCAAATATTTTTCTCATATATCTAACTTAGTAGCCACTAAAGATGTCAAAAATTTTTGTCTTATGTTTTAATTTGTCAAACATCAAATTACAACATGAAACGCAAATGTGCATTTAAGAAAGCTTCATCATTGTGATTTTTAGTGAGCTGAAACAAAAGCTAACGATGAAATTGAAAGTATGTATAAATAGTTCACTGTGCATTGTGAAATGTGTTGGAATTCCTACTACACCTCAATCATAATTCTTTTTTCTCAGGAAGCAAAACTAATTGAGCTATGTGAGAAGTTTAACCTTAGATCGTTTACTATAGCTGACATTGAGTTTTTGTCTGAATACATTACAATCTTATGATTATATTGTATTGAATCTATTGCAATTGCTGTAACTATACTAAAAGGTGATTGTAATTTAGATATATCTTTACCGACAGTGTTAGCGGTTAAAAAACAGTTGGAAGTTATGCACTTACAAAAGAAAAGGAAGTGTGTGAACCACTCATTAAAGCATGGCTTAAAAAGGATAAATAAACATTTTTCTATCTTGAATTTCACAAATGTTAAAACAAAATGGTTCATTTTGCCTACAGTTAAACATCCCACAGTTTGGAATAATTTTTTCCCAGCACATTATCAAGAGATGAATAACGAAATACTTTTGAAAGTGTATCACACGCTTAATGCTCAAGAAACAGAAGAAGAAAATAATGTGATGTCTGACGCTAACAATAATTTTTGTAGTTGTCTTTCAAAACTAATGTAGGTGACTTACAAACCAAGCAAATTAAACTTTCAATAATCTTATTTAGATTCAGCGTATCAAATTTTTATCATCAAAACTTATCTGTACAAGTGTTGAAAGAATTTCCAGTTGTTCTATAAGTTTTCTTTAAATACAACGCCCAGGATTTCTTCTTCTGCCTCAATAAACGAATGTTTGGTTCTGGTTCTCAGATTGACATTCCAAGGCAAAAATAACTGGGGACAAACTATTTGAAATGTTTCTTATTTTAAATATAAAACTGAATAAATTGTTTAAGCCATTTTATTATTCTCATCATGCACATAAGGGATTCGTTCAAGTTATATCAGCATCATTTGAAAGCTTAAGTTTCCGGGATGACGTTTTAATGTTTTTCTTCATTAGTCTTCTATCGGGAGATTTTTCTGTTTTATATGTTACAGACCTGATTAACATCACACATAACTTGTAAATCATAATATAAATAAATCATTTTATGTGGTGACACTAATTATAGCATATTAAATAACGATGGTACGAGAGATATCATAAAATAAAAAATCAAATAAGTATTATATGCAGAGAGAAATTTCTTAAATTCTAATTTATGAAAGTAATGATTTATATTTAGAATAATTAGAATAAACTAATGGAATTGTCACTATTCAATGAGTTAAGAATATATATTGCTGTTTTTTGTTTTCAGAATTATGATTTAAACAGCATGAACAATTTTTAAAGATTTTGGAAAATAAGGAGAACGATTTACTGTTTGTATACTTTTCAATTTTTTGACGTTAAAGGGTGATATATTCTCAATCATTGCATTTAGCTTTTAATATATAAATCACTGCTTTATATTATTCTGAAGTACAGCGAATATCTATAATATACACAAAAGTTTTGTGTGTAATGATGTAATTTTTCGTAATTCTTCTCATTTAATAAATTTAATAATTATTTCCAATATTCGTGTTTTTACACTTTTTTTTTGTACGGAAAAAGTATCGAGATATACGTGTAAGTAAATGTGAAATTTATAAGAACATTATCTCTAAATGTTCTTTTAATCAAAAAAAGAAAAATGCTTATCGTAACATTAGGTCAAGTTTTTATGTCCAAATGTGTAAAAATGATTTTAAATTCAATAAAAAATGATAAAAATGCATTCTAAAATAGGCATTCTGACTTTAAAAATTTAAAATATTCACAGTTTTTTTTTAAAACTTTTAAATATTTTTCAGTTATAAATTAAATTACAGATTTATTAAAATGTGTTTATTTTCTAAAATTTATTTCAATTTATCTTGTGAAAATTACGTAAAAACATAATGTTCAAACCTGCATTGAGCTCTATAAAAGCTCTGGAAACATAACATTGGATCATTTCTTAAGAGAATGAATCTAATTATGAGCATATATAACTTATTCGTGAATTTTAATCTCGAATTTCAAAGGTTACGTTTTCTCAAATCAATTTACAAGCCAACCCATACTTTGATTAATTTTAGCGCGATTCTTTAGATAAAAATTTTACATATAATTTAGTTCAAATCATTCACAGTAGAAGTTCGTTAATCCGACACACCCTGTCTCGTAGATGTCGAATTACTGGGCGTTTTGGTATTTTCTCAAAATTTGATTATTTGCATGGTTCTGAAGGACATTGCTGTATCAATACATACTGTTGTATGCTTCCGACTTGTTTACTCACTCATCTTTAATCACTCTGAAGATGCTATAGTGCATGTTAAGTTAAGATTGATTAAAAAGCCTGAGAAAACATCAATAAAAACGTTATTGCATAAAATCAATATCCACAATGAATTGTTTGCATGTAATATTTATTTCTCCGGACATGTATTATGTAAATATGATTTATAAAAGATATACATGCTCTGAATATGAGAAACTCGTTTTCAGGTGCATGTCTTCGCATTGGTCTTATGGGAAAGAAAATGCGTTAGTCACGTATGTTACTAAACAGAAAACACGTTTTCTAACTCTGACGAAGTTCGTTCAACACGATACAATGTACACTAAGTATACTTCACCGAATTACACTGTCTGTGTAACGGTTTAATGAACTTTTATTGTATATCGAAAATAATTATAGTCTAAAGTAAAAACGAATAAATTGTTAAAACAAATTACTATATATCTCGAAGTGAGTTAACAATTCTCTGAATTTTGAAAGATATCGTTTTAATTTCAAAATAATAATAATAACGAAATTAATTATGCCATTGATTGTTTTATCAACCGAAAACAGGAAAAAAACTAATGAAAACGATTTAAATAGTATTTATTCAAATATTTTATTTGATGTTATTAAGAGAAAAGTTTTCATTATTATATAAATTAATATGATGTGACTTTTATATTATAAAATATAATTACTAAAGTGACTTTTGACACTAAAACACTGTATAATAAGTGAGGGTAAAACGGTTCAGTTTCAGTAAAAACACTTACTGTAAAAAGACGATAACAGAGAAAATTAAATTAACTACACTGTAAAAAGTATCACAACCAGTGATTTAAATACCATAATACCATAATAACATAACTTCACTCCATATCATAATAAATATCATCACTCCCAATAAACTTAGGTCTCAGTTATTCCTGCTGATTATCTGGCCAGCTCCCATTGTGAGTTAGGTCTTGATTATAATGGTATAATTTGAGACCAGGCATATATCATGCAATTGTACTAAAGCCATAATATTTGACTAGCTTACCATATGTTAAAATGAAAAGATCATGATAACAGATGGTCATTTCTGTTCATACAGCTTCTGTGAATTCACTTCACTTCATCTAAAGTGATCTAAATCACCCGATCCGCAACGCAATATGAAAAACGAGAATTTTTAGTTGTTGACTACTGCCAAATTCGGCTTACCACAGCATAACATAGTCAAAAATTCCTCTGCGTTTTCTTAATAACAGATTTGTATTTTTATTTGTAATCATAAGCGTAATATTTCAGTTTATTGTTTGTGCTGATAACAATTTACGAAGTATTTACGTGTTATCGTCGCTCATGTACAGACAGGGGCGCCCGTACATTGGGACACTTGGGGCACTTGCCCCTTTTTCTAATCTCCGAGAAGTCCCTAAACAACAGAAAATTTATGACTTCTAGTCTACTCTACAAATATAAACGAAATTAATGAAAGATACTTGTTCATTGATCCATGCAACTTCGTCGTATGTTAACCAAAACCCCATTTTTTGTTTTCAAGGTCAAGTTAGCCTCGAGTGCAATCTGTGTATCTTGTGGGAGCGCTGATCTGACATTGAATATAGTAGAGTTTAAAGCTTCTTGCTTAAGGTACTGTACGATGTCCTTTTTTTTTAATAGCTTGTGCCCTTTTTTCGTAGTCTGCGGGCACCGCTGTGCACAGACAAAAATTTTTTTCAACGAAACCTAAATGAGTTTCGCTAAGTACTTTCTTAACTTCTAGAAAGTTCAACATAGTAGTGGCAGGTACGGACAAAACACAAAAATAAAAACTTTTTAAAACATGACGCAAAAAGCTTAGAGTAATTCATTTCACCCAAACTTTCTCCATTATTATTCTATTATACCTGAAATAATATGATATATAACATTTTAAAATAAAATGAATCTGTCTATCTGTCTATCTGAATATCAGTCTTTCCGCCCTTTCGAAACTAAGTAAGCCATTTTTTAATGCTCGTCGTGGGTTCGACCAGGCTTACAATAAGGACAGCCGGATGGTGAGAGTTTGGTTTAATAGTTTAATAGGATACGGCAACGCAATACACGGGGTATCTGACAAAGGTGGAATGCCTCTCGACTAAACTTCATATGAGAAACTGGTTCCTGTTTAGATGTTAGACACGTGGAGAAATCCAGACGCCTCGGCCAATTTAATAAAAATTCAATTTAATTTAGGTAACGATCTTTAAAATATTAATTTGAAAAATGTTTTCTATTATTTTTCTATTATTAGACAAGATTCTCTTAATTTGCTTTTAATGTAAATGTTTTGTAATTATTTTAAGTAAAAAACAATTCCTAAATCAAGCATGTTTAAAAAAACGAATGAAATATTGAAGCAAATATTAAAAAATTCAGCAACGAGGTGCTCAACTTTCCCGGCAACATTTAAAATTTTGGTTACGCCATCTTTTACAGTAGAGTCTCGAAAACTCGGCCTAATGTGGACCGAAGGGTGGCCGACTTTGTGAAAATGCCAGGTTATCGGGAATGGGGTTAAAAAAAATAAGTATGAGTGTTTCTTCAGAAAATACTCTTGTACTTGACTGCACTTGTATGTATTGTTTACTTGAGAATACAACACCCAAAACTTCCCAAATACCCTTAAACAAAGGAAAAGTATGTCTTTTATGAAGGCATAGAGCCTTTACTACATGAAAATGAAAATTAATGAATACACTGTGTACAGTAATTTACCTGATAAGACAGACCTCAGAAAAATACTTTATGAAGCATAAAGCTGTCTATAATGAAAATTAATTAACTAAGGATTTTTTTTGCCCTGCCAGGGTGTGGCCGAGTTATCCGGACTGCCGGGTTATCGAGTGCCGAGTTTTCGAGACTCTACTGTACTATATGTTATTAAAAGGAACTTTTATATTTTTAATTATTAAGGGTAAGAATTCTCGTTTTGTTCAAAAATATAGCCCCTGTTTACAGGTAACCGTTGTTGAGAGATGGCTTTTATCGAAAATTCGACTGTGTATGTATTTACAGATTTGTCATTTAAGAAATTAGTTTTTTTCAATAATCAAACACATCGTTATGACAAACAAAAATTGACTTTATTAAACATGTTTTAATGTATAGTATATTAATATTTAAATAATATATCTAAAACTACCGAAATAAATTTTTTTTATAAATACGAACTAATACATAACAAAATTTATAACATCAGACAAAATATAAAGTATTCCAAAAATTATTATTAAAATAATTTAAATACAATTATAGAAAATATTAAGAAAACATTATTGTAAATTGTTTCAGAAAAAAAAATATTTGAAATTAATGTCATCGAAGCACAAAACGAAATGTGTCAAAAAAATCGCTTTTCTTATTATTTCATTATAAATTTAAATAAAAATTAATATATTAAGTATCATAAAGAAGCGGTTTAAACCATAATGAAAGATGAAAACTATTTTATTAACTTTTAACCCTTATGTTTATAAAAGCCTCCATGTTTTACGAAACCTCCGAATCCTCCGAAACCACCTCCTAATCCTCCGTATCCACCACCGAAGCCTCCGTATCCACCTCCAAATCCTCCACTTTTTTCACCTCCATAACCACCTCCGTATCCTCCTTGTCCTCCTCCGTATCCTCCATATCCACCTCCGTATCCTCCTTGTCCTCCTCCGTATCCTCCATATCCACCTCCGTATCCCCCACGTCCGCCACCGTATCCTCCATATCCACCTCCAAGCCCTCCACCTTTTCCACCACTAACGAAAATTTTAATTACTTTGCCACCTCCATATCCACTATGTCCTCCTCCATATCCTCCGTATCCCCCATACCCTCCTCCTCCATAACCTCCTCCTCCTCCTCCTCCTCCTCCTAAACCTCCTCCGTATCCATGATAGGTGCTGATACCAGGAAATTTGATAGCATTAACATTTGCAAGAATTACAATTAACAAAATGGCCAAGATCTGCAAAAAAAACGAAACTTTTGTAAATAAATATTTAAAAAGTAAATTAAATTACATTACAGATATATTTACCAAGCACTTCATGGCGACGTTAATTCAATATTATATTTAATATAGTTTCATCCCTTCACACTTGTGTGTGTATATATATATAAGACGATTTTCAAGGTTATTTAATTTACCAAAGTAATAATTTCTTCTGGGAAATTCAGAAGTTGCTCCTTTGACCTACTGGAAACCATCCAAGAAGAGAAAGTACAGGAAAAGTCATATTATTTATTGTTATAAATTCGCGAGGGGAAATATTTTTGATGAAATTACAAAATGATTAAACGGGTTTATATTTTAAAAGAAATTCCTTGAAATTTCCCTAATTTTATTATTACAAAACTTTTGACAATTTATAAAAAAAATTTTTAATTACTATAAAGATACTAAAATAAAAAGGTTCTAAATATAATTAAGAAAGATACAACAACAATTATTATAATTTATTTAAATATTACTTTATTTAATTTTTATTAAATTTTCTGTTTTTTCTTGCATATTATATTAATAATCATTTAAATAAATGTTTTAAAAAACATTTATTTCTTTTTTTAATAACAAGATCTACAAGACAATTTACTCTTGACTGCCTTTTATAATTAATAAATCTTGGATTTTCCTCATTGATGAATGAAAATAAAGCTTTAAAACTATTGAAATATTGAGCACCTTGAGCTATTCAGTATTATTTATATATTTTAATTGTATTGCTGAATTATATGTAACGTTTATTCATTAAATATAATTAACAAATAGCTTATAATATTCTCTTAAATTTTATTGATTTATTTTCTTATATAATATCAAAAATTTTTATGTCTTAGTTCGAGAAATATAAAACATTTCTTTAGAGGTATTATGTTGCTTATCTGAACTCAACTTCTTAAATAATTTACTGTAACAATTAGTTTAATTTGATGCCAATTGCAAGATACTTCCTTTAACCAAAAATGAAGAAATTTGGCTTTCCTATTTGCTCATAAATCAAGTAATAATATTCAATAGTTCGTATTTTTTCTTGAATGATGTAGTTGTTACTGTTTGTATGTTAAGAAATTCTATAGAAAAATTAAGACTTGTTTTGTTTATTCTTTTTATCAATGGTATATAAACCAAATTTTTATTGATAATAAACATAAAATTTCAAGCATTCATCTGAATAATTAACTAAGTATTCATCATCTTTATCATCGACTTTTATCTATCTATCTCCGTTCTCGAGATTAAGGAAAGACAACGGACGGACGACAGTGAGAATATACAGTCGACCCCCCTATAACATTGTTGATAATTCCATTTTATATAAAGTAGTGAAGCAATAAAAGATATTTTTAGTTTACATTGTAATACATTAATTAATTCCAGGCCCACAAACTTTATAACGATTATTTCAAACATATTTTAAAGCGCTTATTAAACCTTCTGGCATTACATTTATTATATTTTTCATAAACTTCAGAAAACATCTAAACAGAACATAAATGTCCCCCTCTCTCTCTTTCCTCTCCTCTCCTTACATTTGTTTTCTACAATTATCCCCGCTACGGATACACAACTTCATGAAACTATTTTTTACATACGATGCGGTCAAATGTGGTTGGATTGAAATGAATTGAAATCCAATCACATTTGACCGAATACAACGTGGCATGTCAACCGTCGGTAATACATGCCACCACAGTTTATTTCTCAAACTGAGACACAGCCCTACCTATCCTTTGTTATCGAAGCCACATAGGTCCCANTCTGTTCGTCTGTCTGCTCTTTCTTAATCTCAAGAACGGAGTTATATACATTAAAATCGAGACTAGATATAGAAAGTTTAACTATATACGAACTTCTCATACAAACCGAATGTCGTATTATTTCAATTAAAAAATTCTTCTTTGAAAAGTGTTAAATAGATAATCGGCACTACTTGTTTCATCATTTTTATTTATTTATCTTTTATAAGTCTAAATTTATACTTTTTCCGACATCCTATAATGCTAATAATATTTTGAAGACAATAAAGATTATTATTATAAAGTAGTGTAAATATAGAACATGAATATATGTTTTATTTGTATGAGAATTTTAAAATAAAATTCATTATAATTAAATAACATTTAAATATACGTAATTTTTTAATTCAAATTTTTCGTCCATTTATTTTAAAACTAGTTTTGTAAAATTTACCCAAGGGAAATTTTCGTGGATCATCTTAGAATTTCTAAATTATGGAATAACAGGATTTTAGTATGACCTACATAAAATAACTTTTATAATTTAAGCCGAATTCACATAAATGATCATAATATTATTTTATTCTTTCCTCAATTTTCATAATAAAAATTTTTAACATTCTGAATAATAATAAACAAATAATAATGTTTAAGTGTGAAAAAACACTATTCCTATTTGATCTAACTTAATAAAAACATCAGAATGTAACAATAATAAAAATAATTTTTGTAATTTTGTACAGTCGACTCCCCTATAACACTGTTGATAATTCCGTTTTATATAAATTCCATGTTGTACGAGTCACTTAGATTTTACAAATACTTGAGCCGTTCACAGCCCAGTACACGTGTTTGTAAAATCTAAGTGACTCGTACAACATGGAATTCATATAAAACGGAATTATCAACAGTGTTATAAGATGTCGACTGTATTCCGAAATTTATATTACTTCATGAAATAAAAAGTGTTCGTCATTTTATCATTAAACTTTTTAGTTTTGAAAGAAATTTAGTTTGATAATTTGATAATTTGAATTTTAAAATTCGTCATTTAAAATAATTTTATTTCGAAAATGAATAAATAGATAAATGGTTTTTAAAAAATGGATAAAAATACAAATATAAATAAAAAAATACCATTGATTAAAAAAGAAAATGATATAAATATACATTAAAAAAGATAATGTAAAAAAACTAAACAGTTATAATTGATGTTATACGTTGCAGTGTCAAAAACAAACCGAACTTTTAATATTGGGTTTTTATTAAGTTAGTAGAACAAGATTTTAAAAAAGACCATCTTCAAAATAAGCGCTTTCTGCAGCTAAACAAGTTTGCTTAAGTCCGTACCATTTGTCAAAGCCCTATTGCAAGCCAGTTTTTATGATATTTTTAAGTGATCTGGTTGCTGCGACTTATATCTTGGCTTCAATCAGCCATTCGTTGACCAGTAAATATCTACCAAGAAGGACAAAACAATACTTTCTCTTACTACTATGATTTGCCTCCGCAGATTTCTATCAGTTTGTAAAACCAAAGAAAACTTGAAAGAATGCAAAGTCCAATAAATAACAGAATGGAAGCGCAGAGAAAAATCACTAATGACATCATAAATAAAAAATGGCTTCCACGACTACTTTGACAAAATTATAGACTCTGTGTAGACTCAGAAGATTACTTCTGAGTCTACACAGATATGCAGTAGATTGACTCTACTGCATATTTTTCTAGTATAGAAACTACAGTAAATATTTAAAAATATTATTTTTGTTATAAATCTGTATAATTAATATATTAATAATGATAAAAATGTAAACTCAGTTTTAAAACCGAAATTTAATGTAGTTGAATTATGTACGTGTATGAAATGTATCAGATCTGTTATTATAGTTTGAAGAACTGACGTCGAAAATAGATGTGGTTATTATATTGTCGTACGCAACGTTATATTTGACATGTGTTAGATACTCTAATATCAAATATCAAACATTGTTGGGTTGCCAAGACCAGAAAAATCCCAGAAATTTTTCGGGTGGGGTCTATATCGGATATGTCAACTCTGTCCATTACCACCCACCTTCCTCATTGACAACCTGTAGGAACAACGATGGACTTGGAAGATATTATTGCACTTTTTTAGTACCCACAAGATGTCAAATATATATATAAACTATTGAGCAAAAGACCTATATCATTTTCGAGCTTAAAATCTCTTCCGAAAATTGATAAAAGTGATTTAATAATTTTTAAACGTGAATTTAGTCTCAGAGAATTGGGCTTGATTTTATTTTATATTATTGTAAAATAATATATGTTACAATTTAAATGAATTATTTTACTATTTTAATAAAACAATTAATTTATGATTTATGAGATTATATTAACTTTACTGATAAGTTGTTATATCTTTATAAAATTGATAAATATTAACATCAAATCTATAGAAACTATATAGTTTCTTGATAATTTGTAATAGTTAATTACAGTTGAAATATCTTTTACTTTATCGCGATGAGAAAAAAATCCTTTACGTGTTTTTAATTTCGGAAATACCTATGACAATAATTCTTGTTTCGGTTTTTAATAAATTAGACAAAATGTAATTGTCCTTTTCTTTGGTTTTTTTTCTAAATCGTTTATATTTAAACTTGTCGTGACATAGAATAATATCCAGTCACGTTTCTATACAATATTTAGCTTCCTTTTATACCGGAAAATCCGCATAATACAAAAAAATAGCTATAAAACATTTCTGCTTAATCACATAACAACTAAAAACCTAATGGATTAACAAATATAAATAAATTAATAAATAAATTACCCGCTGTTGTTAGATCTCGAAGTTGCGAAAGATGAAGAAGACATTTCCTTTTTTCGTTTTTTAATTTAATATTTACTCTACATGAGAGATAACTTATCAAATAAATATAATATTTCATAAATAGAAAAAATAAAATCATTTGATTTAAATTATACCAAATAATATATTTATTTATTCTATAAATTTTCAATTCGAAAGACGTCAGTATACAGCTGTGGAGGACCCGGGATCGAATCCAGAAATCTTTCATGGGTGGTCTGTTCCTGACATGTCAGGCCCCGTCTTTCATCATTCCGTGTCTTGTGGGCTCGTCCAGGCTCACAATGGGTGTGATTAAAACAAGTCTTATTAGTGCCCATCGGACAGTGAAAATAAAAAAAATGCAATGTGAAAGTTAAATTATTTTACATACAGTATTTATGAAAATAAAAATGTTTTACAAATATCTACAAATATAATTCTTATATATTTTTTTAAATATTGCATAAGCTTTTTAATAAAAAATTTCTAACAGGTAAGATTGTTAATTTTGTTCAACTTAATAATAATTTTATTTCATTTTATGTAAACAGTATATTTAAATAGATTATATAATCGATTAAAATACATTGTATTTACTGTATTAAATTTAATTATGAATTTTGATAATTAATCTATATATATAATCGAGACGAGTTGATGATAATAATAATAATCAGCGCAGAGCCCAAACGGTTAGGAATTGAAAGTTGAAATTTGGTACACAGTTAGGGTACGTCACGAGAACGCATCTAAGAAGGGATTTTTTCGAAATTTCCCCGCGGGGAAAGAGGGACAGAAGTAAGGCTTCGACAATAAAAATGTTAAGTAACAATGGAAATGTTAAGAGAATGCGACGTGCAAGATTTACAGACGCAGATGCAGTTTTTTCGTTTTGTGGGAAATCGAACATTTTTTAACCCATTTAAAAATTCTCTAATTAGTCTGGAAACAGGGGAACCTAATTCTTGCATTCTTTGAAAAAGGGTAAGATTGACTATAACGTAATAATCTTAATCTTCGCTATCGTTACTTTTTGCCTGAGCAACGCCGGGTCTATCTGCTAGTTATAAATATTATTCAACAATTTTTATTATTTAAAAAATGTTATTAATGAAGACTTTTTTAATTTTCTTTTTTTACTCTTTCTGTTCTGTGGGCACTAAGAAGGTCTTTTTTCCATATCCTTCGTGTGTTCGGCCAGATCCACAAATAACAGCGGCTGAATGGTAAGGGGTAAGGATCCACTTATTCGGGACAGATCACCCCCATAAATTTCTGATGTTCTCATTCAGATTCGATCCCGAATACTCCGACCGCTACAGTGATTAGTTAACCGCTTCGGCCATCCTGCCGGCTACGTACCGGTACTATGCGATCAATAAAGAAAAAAATAATTCTTTTTTTTTCAAAAATGAAATATAATTTTAAGAAAAAAAAGGAAAAATGAAATCAGTAAAACAGTGAATAAATGCTTAACATTCTTTAAATTATTCTTATCAAGAATTAAAAAGTCATTTTAATTAATTTGTTTTCTAAGCTAAGAGGCATTTCACGTTCTAAAAACCTAAACTGTTGTGAATTGAGGCCCTAAGCCAGTGGCTTTCAACCGAATTGCCGTGGAACTCTAAAGATGCCGCAACGTTACTTCAGGAGTGTCTCGAAATGATTGATGGAAGAAGGCAACATAACACTTGGGTAATCTGTCAAGGAGGAATGCCTCCCGGGAAGACTTTCTATGAGAAATTGACCTCTATTTAGGTGTTAGACATGCGAAGAATACCCTGAAAATTCTACGCGATCAGTCTGTTGGTGAGGTCCAAGTACTAGAGTTCAGTGGTTTTATCCACTCGGTTACTGGTGGACCTATATTGTCGCGAAATATAGTGCTGAGCAGCGCAATTATACGTTTATTACTAAAGTATTAAAAGCGCAATAATTCTTGATAAAGAAATAGGGGTGTCGCAAGTAAAAACTATCAAGTTAGGTGTCCTACTATTAGGGTAAGATTTAAAAAAGTTGTCCTAAGCTATTGTTTGTAGAAGTGTGTAATTCCAGTTCAATATTGGGATAATTAATAGTCGCTAGAGAAAGTGCTAACGGCTAATAGGGAATAAGTCTTTTACGGTAATACGAATAATACCTAAGGTTTATTGCCTACTGTTTTATATAAGTTGGAAGTTAAAATTTATTCGATTCATTGTTTTAGCCTACTTTTTTAGAGAAATACCAAAAAGAATAATCAATGTAACAATTATTGGCAAAGCACTAACTTAAAAAATGTAAAACATGATATTATTAAAAACAACATTTGAAATTACAGAAAAATGGTGGTGGGGTTGCAGAACGTACCGCCGCAAGTTGTTAGATGTATCAGTGGTATAGTAATAGAAACAGATACAGAAGGCTTCAGAGGACGTGTTATTAAAACTTCACGTTAAGCCATTCACTAATGAATAATTTCAAGATGTACAGTTCTACGCTTTTCTTCAATATAAATAGAGTACTTTCGGGTTTTACACGAAAATTCGATTAAAGTAATAAAACTCTTAATATTCAACCGAACTCATTCCTCAGTTTAAACGGCAGATATCCACTAACGGATTATACGCAGTATAAACAGCAAATTTATAAATCACAAAAGTTTTTCTTAACGTATATAATAAATATCTAATATATATCTTGCTTTTGTATATGTTCCTTTATAATGAATTACTGTATTGTAAAACTTCACAGATTTTCAATTTAATTCATAATTTATATTAGCTTTTAAATAATACTTAGGAATGTCATTAAATAACAGGAATTTTAATCTAAAATTTGTGATGTATGCACTGCGAAAAATCTTATTGTAGGACACAAAATGACTTCTTAGCAATACGCCATATACAGGTTGTGATGATCGAGCAATATGGGCCTGCGAAATAGCTCATATAACATTGTTGGTCCACAGTTTAATTGCAGCATGGAAGAGCAAAGAAGTGTCATTTGTTTATTATGGTCAGAAGAAGTAAAATCTTTTGGAGTCTATAGGAGACTGAAGATTCAGTATGGAGACAGTTGTTTGAGTCAGAGGAGAGTGTATGAATGGGTGGAAAGATTTAAAAACTAAAGACAAAACATCAGTGATGAACACTGGAATGGGAGACCATTTTTCATGGCATATGTTCAGGAAAAGAGTCAAACTCTGACTAATGCTCGATACAGTGGCATGCTGGTGAACAAGTTGAAGCCCGCAATACGATAGAAACGTCGGCGATTTCTCTCAAAAAAGTTTTGCTGCGACAATACCCGCCCTCAAACGGCTGTGCATACAATGGATATACAGTACTAATTAATCTGAAATTTCGTGTGAGGAAACATTCAAAATATAGTCCAGACTTGGTACTACTTTGATTTAGTGGACCTTTGAAAAAAAAAACGTTTCAAAGGTCAATAATTTGCTGAAGATACCGAGGATGCAGTGAAAAGTTGGTTAAAGGCTATACCAAAAAGTTGTTTTCTTGAGAGCATCCGAAACTTGTGGACTGTTGGATCAAGTGTGTTGTAAAGCAGAAATACTATGTCGAAAAATAAAGCTCAAACAATTTCTTTAAGTACTTGTAAAAAAGTTGTTATAAAATTCCTGTTATTTAATGACTTTTCTTCGTAAAAAATTTTATGTAGAATGGGACATATTTCAGAGCCTACGAGCGGCTGTTTCGTTAATTCGTTAAATGGAATATATATAACTTGAAAAATTCAATAACGAGTTGCTTAACTTTCAAAAATGTTTAAAATTTTGGTGGCATTTTCTGTTATGATATTTTATTTTTTATAGTTTCAATTATTATAAAATGGCAAAAAGCTTAATTTTGAAGTTAGAGATGGGCTTTATAAAAAATTGTAAATGCTAGTAATAAGTAAAATTGTCATTAAATCAGATCCTACTAGAGATGTAACACGATCCCCTTTATCTCCCCACCTCGTCGACCTTTAACCACCAAAATTTAATAACATTAATCCCCTAATATTTCAGAAATTTTGGACAAAAAGCATAGGAGTTATTAAGCTTCAAAGTGTGTGAACAAAATCGTGCCACATACACTCGCACTAACATCTATACATATAAAAAAATCTCCGAACTTATTTGCATTTTTCGACGTTTCGAGGTTTCCTGAGTCAAAAAATGTAAAAATCTTGATGGGGTAATTTTTTACCGATCTCCATACTTTTCCTCTGCCATATATAACAGAGCCGCGAAAGTAAAAAGTGTCTGAGTTTTATTTCATTTATCGTTCTCTCTGAATTTTCTTTATATAAAGAATATCTTTTTAAAATATTGTTGTACCAGGTATTAAAACAATACAAAACTTTATTTAATAAATTTATTTATTTACTGATGTGTAACTACAGAGAATTAGGGCATGCATCTGTAATCATACCTATTTACAATATATAAAATGGATACATTTTTAATGTAATATTAAGATTTAAAGCGTAAACATTTGGACCTCAGTATATCGTTCATCACTAAGCAAACGATTTACATTTTGTTTTTATTTTATTTATTTTCTTTTATGTAAGTTAAAAGAAAATATCGAAATAAGTCTGGGAGAAATTATATAGATTTTTAACATTCATATTGGATAAGATCGATTTTGGTTGTAGTTTGTATTAATGATGAACGATTAAGAAATCCTACAAGTCACGCACATAGACAAACTATATTGCAACGGTTTTTTTTCGTTTCAGGACAATGTATGACACAAAAGACGAATGCATCGTCCTAATGATATCGAAGCGTTCGTCTTTAGCGCAGTAGCGAAGAAATAGCAACAGAGTTCAACCGCAAACACCCAGAGCGAGCGACAATTTCGCATACCGCCATTGTGTTCGCAAAGTTTAAGAGGATTGAATCCGTGGCTGACAAAGAGCGTTTAAGTTTCCACCATCCTTGACATCTTTTAAAGTGTGTGGAACGGTTGGATCACTCGTCCGCATCTCTGTGTGCAACATGATGGCAATCGCATTCGAACATACCAACTGAACAGCTTTTTTGTCTATGATGCGCGACTTATAGGACATCATATGTAATTACAAACGTAAAGAAAATATAGCAAAGCGAAACAAGTTTTCCTTCGTTACTAATGTCTACATTTTAACATTTTTAAATCTGAGATATTTCTTGTTCTTGATCGTGCTCAACATGGCTGGATTAAAACTATGTTGAATTTCAAAACACTGTTTAAAATGTTAGATATTATTTTCATTTGTTTTCCAACAAATGAAAATAATAATTGAAAAACTTACAAATACAAAATACTTTTAGAAGTATAAAAAATTTATAACTCCACAAACAGAAATAAACCTGAGCTTACAAAACTAATATTAACATATACTGAATTAAGAGTTATTTTATAATGTTCGTATTTTGTTAATTACATAATAAAAGATATAATATAAAGCAAATTATTGACTTTATATTTTGTTAATGTGCAAGGCTGTAAATTACCTATATTTTTCACGAAGTAGTTTTAGATTCTTTCATAATCGTAAGTTGGAATGCTGTTTATTTATATGCTTTTTTTTAATCTGAAATATAAAATAAAATAAAATCTTATTTTCTGAAATAAAAATACTTATCAAGAAATATAGAATTTGTTAATTAGCAAAGATGCAACATTTTTATTTTAATTATGAATTGAAGTACTATATTGGCTTTCTGAATAATTTTTAGACTAGAGATATGTAAATTAAATAACAGATAAATTTATGTAAACAAATTTTATTTGCCAAATGGTTAAGGATATTTTTATCCTTTTCTTTCCTAGAATAACATGTTAATATATGAAATGTTTGGTTTGATGGGATACCGCAACGCAACACGTGGGTGACCTACCAAGGGAAATCACTGGGAAGACTTTCTATGGATCCTATTTAGGTGTTAGACAGGTAAGAGAAGACCCAGAAGCTCCAAGTGGCCAGGCCATTGGTGAGGCGCGAACCTCCAAATAAAATTGGTCAGTAGTTTTATCCACTCAGCCACTAGTGAGCTTCTAAAAGAATACTAACACTTGATCTTTTATTTGTTGTATCTTTTCTCACTAAAATATTGCAAAGTGTTGTTACAACTATTATATGAGGACATATATTGTACGAGTAGACTTTTTCTAATAGGACTGCCGAGTTAATAGGACCCAAACCTCAAAAATAAACATAATCTAACACTGATTATTACTATTTTTACAAACTTAACCTTAATAAAATATAACAATATTATGCTTTATTGAGATGAACTATATTTTAAAACATGTTTTTAACAGTTGGGGAATTGTTTCTCATATATTATTTATATTCTCATATAAATTAAATTATGCATTTATAAATGCATAAGTTTAATGTTTATGAAAAGTTAAAATTTTTCTGATCTTTTTATTATTTTTAGAGCATGTAACAATAATTATAAAAATTTAAAAAGTTTTTCTGGTTTTTTCTTGTGTTTTGTATTATCAGATAGAGTTAATATGATGTATAATGGATGTATAAATGTCAAATTTTATAATACTAAATGTTAGAGAATTTTGTCACCTCAAATATGTTTAAAATTTTAAAAACATTATGCAAGTTATATATAATATATGAATGTGCATTATGTAATATTAAATTAAAAAATAGAACATACAAATATGAGTAAATGTTGAATAAAAGAAAAAAATAAATTATTAAATTAAAGAATATAATATTTAAAAAACCTTACAATAATGAATATTTTATTTAATTCTCATTGTTAAAAATGTTACCACAGTTATTTATAAATCTTTGAGTCAGAAAAATTGAAAGAGCAAGTTTGAAACTTTAGACAAATATATTTAATATTAATACTATTTAATAATCATTAATAATAATAATAATACTAATAACAGTAATTAATAATTTATAAAATTTTGTTTCATCTAAATATTAATTCATTAATAGATTAATAATTACTAAACTTGTGTTAGATACTGTACTACGATATGTCTTTATATATATATATATATATATTATGCATCTTTATATAATTTATTTAGATTACCTATATATAAAATAGTTTTTCCTTCTTTTTAGCCATGAATACCATGTTCGTGGCCTCCGTGACCTCCGTGGCCTCCATGACCTCCGTGACCTCCGTGACCTCCATGACCATGTCCATGTCCATTACCCCAACGAACTCCGTGGGGTCCATGTTTTCCATGACTAGGTCCATCCCAACGTTGACCTCCATGACCATGACCTTGTCCACCCCAACGTTGACCTCCATGACCATATTTTCCTTTGTAACCATCACGTCCAGTATAACCAATACCGTGTCCACATTTTATTTCAATGGACATGATAATAAGAATTACGATCGAAAATGCAATCTGTAAAACATTTGTAGTTTTAGTGTACAATCCATGGAAAAAAACACTATAACAGTTTAATTAAAAACAAATAACTAATTTATAACGTGCATTATAAATTATTTGTTCAGTAAAAATAAATCTGTATAATAATATTTTTAAATTTAATTAATTAATTTTAATTCTTAATGATATAATTTAAGAAATAAATTGTCGTAAAACTCATATCATAGATTAGAATATTTGTTAATCTGCGATTGTACTTCAATTCTAATACTTACAATTAAATTTTTTAATCATTCTAAATCATATTTGAATAAGATAATTGCAGTATTTATATATTATTCGTATATTTCATATTAATCCTATTTTAATGAACAGTGAAATATGATTTAACTAATTAAATTAATTTCGTTGTAATAATGGCAAAACTGAAGCTCTGGAGATCTGAAAAATAATTAATTGATTAATTTAATTTCTTCTGCTGGAGCATATATGTGCCGCATCTATGCTCCAGCAGAAGAAATTAAATTAATCAATTAATTATTTTAAAATTCGCATTAAAATAAAATTTAAAAACACTATTACTTTAAATCAATCGTACTTCAATTTAAAATTTCATTATTTGTTCTGTTTTTTATTAAGCTAGTTTCTTGTTTTTTACTCTTTTCATCCTGTCATCAATCACTAAGAGAACCTTTTTAGATCATGCCATCATGGATTCGATTAGGCCACCAATAAGAATGGACTAATACTGAGGACCGGACATATCCGGGACAGGACTATAGGATTCATATGATAAGACAACGCAACACTTCTGCCAAGAGGAGAAGTGCTTCCCGAGAGGACTTTCACCCCTATGTAGCTGTTAGAAACGTGAAAAAATACGGAAAATTCCACGTTGCTCGCCGTTTAATGAGGCGCAAATCCGTGACAAACTATCAGTGTTCAGAGGTTTTATCCACTCGATCACTGGTAGCTATCCGGGACAAACTATCTATGAAAATTTCCTGAGTGATGCTCGCTCAGATACGATTCAGGATCTCCTAGAGAAGTAAGCTGACGCCTAACTGCCTTGGACATCCGACCGTGCTTGTAGAAAATCATTCAAAGAATGACAGAAAAAAATTCGAATAATGTGAATATGATAAAAATATAAAATCGTATATAATTTACTTCATACTTTTATGAAAAATTTAAAATAAACATTTCTCAGTACATTAAAATTGTATCTAGCCGTAAATCTCTTCGAATAAACTAACAATATAAACTAATCTTTACTTTATTCTACGACAGCGATGCTCTTTCTTCACTTATATTGAATTTGTCTGCACATTTAAAAAAAAAAATTTATTTGAAAAGTACTCTGACTTTTTAACACTGATGTACAGTACATATATATTATGTTGCAACATAAAAAATATCACTCTTTTCCCCAAATAAATTTGATTTTTGCAAATTCGTTTAGCTAGGCTTATTATATCCTTTGAATTCTAGTTATGGTCAATCAATATAATTAGGAAACTATACATCAATTTGCGTTTTTTCAATTTAAAACTATAATAAAAGCGAGTTGAAGTAAAATATAAAAGAAATAGATAAAAACAATTATATTTCTTTTGCCTATTTCCACTCTGTGAGGGCCGTTTTCTAATCCTACCCATCATGGATTGTGAGCCTGCAGAGTGGTTAGGGCAGGCCCACGATCCAATGTCCTGAACAGACCACTTCCCGAAAATATTCTGGAGAGGGATGCTCGCCCGAATTTGATTCCAGATCCCCACAGTAATAGGCTAACACCTCCATTTTTAATATTTTGTTATAAATTAACATAAGTGTTACATAACAAAATTAATTTTATTACTTTCTTATTTCTTTGTAATTAATGTGTTACAATATATATAATGTATTCTGTATCATAAATAGAAAAAAAAAGAACCATATCATTAAAAATATTGGTCAACTAGAAATTGCTATGTAGAATGAATTATATAATAATAATAAATGGGTACGACTCCTATATAAGTCAAACCTAACCGACTTTAAAAATTAAAAAATAACAATTAACTGTTATATAATAGTTTAACAAACACTCGATTTTTATTTTTAAAATTTTTATGCCTGTTTTATATTTCAAAAAATAACTTACAGAAGACATAAATATTTTTTTAAATTAATAAATTATTTGAACTCAGAAGAAAATTTATTCAATACAATTAAAATCTCTGAATTTCATGTTTATGAAATTAATTTTAAGTAGTAAATAATATATACTCTAAATGTTTAATATTTAGTAATAATTATTTAATTTACCAATTAATGAATATCGCAATCGGCTGAACGAATAGCCGAGAATTTGAGGTGCTCTGAATGAACTGGGTTCTAATCCGTGAGAACAATTCATAGGAATTTTTCGGTGGTGATATGTTCTGCGTATGTGAGCCCATCCCGCGCCACACAACAGCTCTATTGTGGGCCTTACTAAACCCATAATATCAATAGATATGATTAAAAAACCCTGTTAGTGCCCACAAGACAGAAAGAGGGAATAACATAAGTATATTTAAAATATTTACTTTGCGTACATGAAAACATTTTAAATCAGTAATTTGTTTACTATGTTAAACTTATGTTAAAACTTGAACTTTTCAAATATATAAATTTATATGTAACTAATACTATAATTTATTTTTCGATTTAAATACATTTACATTTAAGTATTTTCTAATTAGCTTAATTTACGTTACTTATTGAAAATACTCACAACATTCTTCATCTTCTCTTTATTTGTAAGTTGTGCTAGTTGAAGCGCATCTTATATATGATGTGAAGTTACCTTAAATTTAATAACCAATAACCTGCGTTCTTTCAACTCAGTTACTAGAACATTCATTTTTTTTGGCATGTTGCAATAACCTTAAAGTGTCATATTTTATTTCCATTCAATAAGAAATCGTCAGGAAATTTCTAAGAAGCAGTGTTTTTTTTTTATTTCTTTAATTTAATGTCGTGTTTGCTATTTTAAAAAGTTTATTTACATTGGTTCCTGCAAAAAGACAACTTTTTTAACTTTTTGTATATATATTTTTTTATATAAATTATGTAGTCCAGATAATTTTATAGTATTTCAAACATGGCTAAAATCATTAGATATAATATAAACTATTCAATTATTATTACATTGTATTTATACCCCGCTCCATTAGTGATAATGATCTTATCATTAGTAGATAACATAAGAGATGTTATATATAATTATGAAAAAGTAGGTTAGTACTATTTTATGAGGTCAAAACTAAATAGATCAGTTAACTGGAAGGAAACGTTGTGATAAAGATTGAGCCTGTAATAAATTAGATTTTTCTTTAAATAAATGAATAAAAACTTAATTTATTTAATAAATAAATAAATTTAATGCTTTATATTTATATATTCATATTAGTATCAACTAGCCTGATATA